ATAAATATACAAATATACTCCATAACAAAAGAAAAGCCTACCAAGATAAAATTCTTAGTAATATGGTGACAGGCATACACAACAGCAAAATATTTTGGTCACAATTGAAGCTACTCTCTGGTGAGGGAAGGAGACGCTCTCCTAATATAGAACTAGGAGATTGGTATCAGCAGTTTAAGAACTTATTTGGTGAATACTCTTCTTCAGAGGTTGAGGAGAATTTAGTTTTTGACGATGTTAATTTTGACGAAACAACTCAGAGTATTCTTGATTCCCCTATTTCACAGGATGAAGTGCTTGATGCGATTTCAGGATTGAAAAAATAATAAAGCTGCGGGAGATGATGGACTGATAGCAGAAATGTTTAAGTCTTCTCCTGATGTTCTGGTTCCTTTTTTGACATTCTTCTTTAATGCTATATTTGATTCTGCATATTTTCCCTCATCTTGGGCTGTTGGCCACATTGTTCCTATATATAAGAAAGGCGATGCCAATTCTCCCACTAATTATAGGGGTATCACTATCTTAAGTGTATTCAGTAAACTTTATATTTCTATTTTAAACAGAAGACTTCAGTTTTGGTCGGAATCCTATGATAGACTAGTAGAGTCTCAGGCTGGTTTTAGGAGTGGATATTCCACAACTGATAATATTTTTGTTTTAAATTCAGTAATAGAGAAATATTTGGCTAAGAAACGAGGTGTGATTTATGCCTTGTTTGTTGATTTTGCCAAAGCCTTTGATTCCATAGATAGATCCAAATTGCGTATGGTACTATACAAAAATGGTATTTCTCCGAAAATGTTCTGTTGTATACAGTCAATTTATAAACAAGTTTTGGCATTGGTCAAATACAATAACTCATTTTCTGATATGTTTAGCTGCCGTAAGGGAGTTCGTCAAGGATGTGTCCTTAGTCCCATTTTGTTTGCCTTGTTCATAAATGATCTTGCCATAGATATTGAATCCAGTTGCGCACATGGTATCCAATTTCATCCAGATGTAGTTCAATTGTTTTTATTACTTTTCGCAGATGATGTCATTCTCATAGCAGATACTGTTTATGGTCTCCAGAAAAGAATCAATGTGTTAGAATGTTATTGTAAAGATTATTCATTAACAGTCAATATTGATAAAACTAAAGTAGTAGTTTTTAAAAATGGGAGTGTTCTTTCAAAATATGAAAAATGGGTTTACGATGGAAAATTGTTGGAATGTGTAACTACATATAAATACCTTGGTGTATTATTTTTTCGAAATCTATCTTGGAGTGCACATATATCTAATGTTGTTAATCAAGCTAAAAAGGTTTTGTTTAAGCTTTTGAAGTCCCTACAGCTAATTAAACCTACTCCTATGAATATTTTCTTTAAAATTTTTGATGCTAAAGTTGTGCCAGTACTTCTTTACGGTGCAGAAGTTTGGGGTTTATCTTTATCGTTTTGCGAGGAGATTGAAGTTGTTCATACACTTGCTTGTAAACGTATTATGGGAGTTAAGTCAGCAACTTCCAATCATGTTGTGCGTGGAGAGTGTGGGAGATACCCTTTGTATATCTATGCTTTCAAAAGATGCTTGAATTATTGGTGTAAGATTTTAAAGATGCCCGATTCGCGTTATCCACGAAAAAGTTACAATATGCTTGTGCAGCAGGCCATAGCAGGTAAGACTAATTGGGCCTCTAGAGTTAAATTACTTTTGTACGCCTATGGCTTTGGCTACGTATGGGAAAATCAGCATCTTGTTATTTCTATTTCATTTATTGATGAGTTCATACAAAGATTAAAATGCTCTTATGAACAAGATTGGCATTTTGCTTTGACCAATAGCCCCAAGTATTCATCATATCTTTGTTATAAATTTAGGTTTAGCAGGGAATTTTATTTATCGGCTATTACAATCAATAAGTTTGGCGTTGCACTGGCACGTTTTAGAGCTAGCTCCCACTCGCTCCACATAGAAACCGGGAGATATTTTGGTATCCCAAGACAGCGAAGGTTATGTATGGGTTGTAAAACAGGCTATGTTGAGTCTGAATACCATTTTGTATTGGTTTGTGAAAAATATTATGCTCTCCGAGTGACATATATTCCTCAAAAATATTATGTAAATCCATCAATAGAACAATTTTACATACTTATGTCGTCTCTGCATCAGTCAACAATTAGAAGTCTGGCTTGTTATATTTACCACGCTTTTAAGTTAAGGAATTCATTTTTGCAGAAGTAATATTCTTTATCTATGAATGCCTTGCTGTTGTGTATTTAGGTGTACACAGTTGTATTTTTATACATGTCTGGTGAACCGAATTGTACTATGGGCCGCTGGCCCACTCATGTACTGAATAAACAGATTAGACTCGGCGTGTATTAGAGACCTGTCTGGTATTAGAGACCCAGCGTGTATAAGAGGAAATATAGATATGTTTTACAGTTCATATGGGGTGATCGATCGGCAGCCATTTTCTGTGAATCGATATGTAGGCTATCTATGTATTCATACTCACGTTTTTTTGTGAAAAGGCTTAATATATTTGAAAGGGGTTTCCGTAGCAAAAAGAAAACCTCTTTTTAACCAATAAGAATCAAGCATTCAACAATGTCATGGTAGAATATGGCGTCACGTATTTTCCATTGAATACGTGAACACCCTTGAACACACAAACTTTACCTGTTATCAGATCTGGGTTATGAGACCCGCATATCCAGCAAACCTTTTGCACTATACAAATACACCCTCCAACCCTCTCACTCTACACCGTCAGCCTACTCAGTCTATACAAATACAAACTATAAATAGTACATACCCAACCTGTTTTCTCTACAGCTTTCAATATGCAGTCTACACTACATAAAATTGATTGCATTAAGCGACGGTTCAGTGTAGATATCAAACTGGAGAAGGAATGCATGATATGTTGTGACAAGCAGCAGATTAACATAAACAGCAACAGGTAATAGATGGGGTGCTCCCGGTTTCTCAACATTCCTTAAAACAAGATAGACACAATTTTATGGATAACAACTTCTTTAATACGGTGAAAAGCGACGTTTCGGTATATAGATCCTATAGTTGCTTGACAACGGTATAAGGATCTCTTACCGAAACGTCCCTTTTCACCGTATTAAAGAAGTTGTTATCCATAAAATTGTGTCTATCTTGTCATCCGTCAACTTCTATGTAATGCCTATCAAACAATTTCAAACAAACCCAGTCAGACGTAGAACAATAGAGGGATTAGTTTGGGAACACCGTGTTCGCCAATTAGCACTTATGCCAGGGTCTTATAATAACTGTTTTTTTGTCATTTTGGCCAATGTATTTGGTGAAATGATCAGAGGTTTGGACTGCAGACTGAGTATTGCCGTAGCGAAAGTGTTAACCTATTGATCAGAAGAGCTGCTGCCTTGCCATTGGTTCCTCTAGCCCACACAGATGATGTTTGGCTCAACGCACTCAACGACGCCCCTCTCCATGATGTGAGAGTTCTCCGATTTACTGACTTTGTGACTGAAGTTTGGGTGGAGGGCGATCATGGACGAAGTACCTGGAATCACCACGACACCGTCGGCCCAAGAACGACCAACCAAGTAGAGGGCTGGCACTTCAAGCTCACCTCCATCATGGGCAGTCCCCACCCCAACATCTACAGAATTATTGACTTTTTAAAGACAGAACAAGCCTACACCGGTGCCCATATCCTGCAGCTTGTAGGTGGGGGTATGCTTAGACCCAGGAGATCTAAGTATCGACATCTTGAGACCAGACTTGATGCAGAAAAGACACACTTACACGAGGGAAGAAAGTCAGCAATTGAATTTGAAGATGCAGTGGCCCATTTTGTACGTTTGTGATGATCATGAAATGTCATGTCATGTTGGTTTGTTATAAATTGTCGAGTTGTATTTTAAATTTGATATGGAGACATTATAAACTGTCGTGATATTGGAATATTAATTGTAAAATTCAATCATGTGCAAGTGCTGTGATATGGAAATCATGTGAAATCAAATATGATATAAATAATTCATTGAAATCATAGTGTGTCTAAAGAGCGTCGGTCACTCCTAAAAAGACAGTGGGATGTACCCACAGGTGTTAATCCATTAATCCCTGTGTTGTTCTAAGTTTTCCAATGCTTAGAAACCGGGAGTACACCTAATAGATAACACTATGCACTCGAGTCCAATGTTCTAAAACAGGAAGTCGGATATTTTTCGGCACTATGCTTCCGGCATGAAAGTGAGGCGTCCTGTGAACATTGTGATCTGGTAATTGTGAATTGACATTTGACTGGTCAGCTATATGTTGACAAAATATTGCATCCTGTCGTTCTCCTTTTGCTAGAATTATTGGCAGAAATTTTGAACTGCAAGATAACAATGACAGACCACATCGTGCCCATGTCGTTAACATTTGCCAGTGACTGTCACATATAAAATGACGTCAAAACTCAAATGGGAATTTTAAGATTTATATACATATATATACTTAAAATAGAATTTCCTGAATATTTCACGCTGATGCACTCGTTAATCCCACACTGCCTGTGCAGCTTGCTCACACTCTCGTCATCTCTCTCAAACGGCCTCCATATTTCTCAATCATCTCGCTCCTCCACTGTCGTACTCGTACTTCCCCATATATGATCTATTACCTAGGTATACAAAATAGACATAACAGGACATATTTGATCACAATATAATTGTATCAATGAAATGATATACATCTATTTAATGTTGCTTCGCAACTGAACAAGTTCGCTTGTAGCTATAGCAATTATTTAAACACATTTACAGTTCAAGTATATACACAAGTTCATTTGTATTCCATGAAACATAATGAGGGCGACTCTGGGATTTGAGGGATGCAGACATGCAGATTTAGAGGACTGCGCCCCTGGTGCCCCTTAAATGGGTACTGATAAAGGAAAGGATAAATGTCTTTATAAAGATGATGCAAATAGGTGCTCATATATTCATATTGATAGGTTTTATATTCATGTGAAGCACTTTCTAAGTACATCCTAACAAAACCTATATTTCTCTGTAAACAACCTTAAATATAAACCATGTCAACATAATACATGTGTATATTTCTTTTTAGAAACAAATAACTGCAACTTGTGTCATTGTGACGGGGAGGCAACTCTGGCTACATCTTGGTGTTCTGACTGTGACGTCTCGCTGTGTGGTGGATGTCTTAAGGCCCATGTTCGTAATCCTGCCTCCCGTCACCATGACGTATCTGACTTGTCAAGGGTTGTCAAGGTGAAGAAAAGACGCAAACCTATGTGTAAAGAACATCCAGATCAGAGGATGCAGTTCTACTGCAAGGACTGTAAGAAACTACAATGTCAATCGTGTTGCATCTTGTATCACAGAAAGTGTGAGTCCATTGTCTCGCTTGCGTCTGTGTTGCCTGAAATGCAAAACACTCTTCAAACTGTAAAACAGAAACTAGAGACTGATTTAGCAACATCAAACACTCGCCTTGCAAAGAAGGAAGCAAAACGTACTGAAATTAACGAGAACAAGTCCAGCCTTCAGTCTCAGGTCCGATCAGCAACCCACACCGCCATTGACTTGATAAAGAAGAAGGAGAGACAACTCCTTGAACAGATAGATGACGTCACAGAGAAACAAATAGGACAGCTGAAAGGAGACATGAAGCGTGAGGCGATGGCCAGGCAGATGATTCGTCAACACTCGGAGTTGCTGGGCAGAGCTCTGGAGTCTGAGAGTGACGTGGACATCTGTGAGATGTATCTGTGGAGTGAGTCGGAGGAGGCAGCCACTGTGTCTGTCCCAGAGTCAGGTATGGAGGATGTATCTGGGGGCAAGGCTTGTTTCATACATAATCGTTATTTGATGTGTGAGGAACTAAACGATCTACACTTAGGTGTGATTGATATCATTGTTGAAGATGTTTTTGATTCTACATCTACAGCAGTTCTGTATGACACAGTGGACATATATGCAGAAGATGATAAGGAAAAACCCGAAGCTTATGACGTGGCAGTGTTTGTTGTCGACAACACAGACACTATAGTTGTCACAGATTACAACAAGTGTGTGAAATCCTTCTACAAAAGAAACAAGAAGTCATGTCAGAGTAAGCTGGGGTTACAAAGCGCCCCTCGACGTATTGCTAAAATAAACAACAGTAAAATCTTGTGACTCTCCCTGACACTAAAGAAATAATAATAGTAGAAGTGAAGCCTGAGCTGGTTCTTCAATCATCCATCTCTACAAGGAAGGGGTACTACGGTCTGACATCCCTGACACCGACAACCCTGGCAGCAGGATCCGTGTCTCCTCCTTGTGTGGACATCCTGGACATGGCGGGGAATGTGTTGAGGACCCTGGATCCTGTCACAGATGGAAGGAAACTTGTATCAACTCCTCAGTACCTCAGTACCACCAGGCAGGGTAACATCCTCGTGTCTTGCAGTGGATACGTAGCTCGCAGAGTCCTCTGTTTGACTCCTCATGGAGATGTTGTGTTCAGATATCAGCCTAAACAGCAAAGGCCTTCCCCTCGTGGAATCACTGAAACCAACACAGAACATATCCTGGTTATAGATCGCAGAGCAAAATGTGTGATTCAACTCAGCGCTTCTGGGACGTTTGTGAGGGAAGTGTTGACGTCACGTGATGGTATTACATCTCCGTATTGTCTCCACCTGTCTGAAAGTCAGCACCTGTATGTCACAGATGGTGACTGTGTGAAGATCTACAGATTTACAAGAAACACCTAAGATGTGGAAGCATAACGATTGTACCTGGTAGAACACGTCACCATCTGAGTGACAATAGTTTATGTAAATATGAATTTCCAATACAAGAGAACAATCAGTCTAGACTGTCCGCCGAAACAGATAAAAATTTGACGTGAAGTGCAAAATAGTTATGAAATTTATATGGATGGACCAGTGATATTGGGTGATGACACCAGATGTTCGCGAAAAGGGTAAGCATGTCCGGCACTATCGGTAGCACTCGCAAAATCACACAATTTTCATGACAAAGGAAGTATTTGTCCCTGACGCGGCACAGCTGTACTCGTATCGCGAGACGGCGGCATGTAAACAAACCAGACAATCAAGTGATCGATGAACCAGAATATCCAGTGACACGTTAGTGCATTAACTGATTTTGTTGAAACTAATAAAACCGATACGTTTATTTTAACCTACGAATTAAGGGCACCGATTCTGCCAGCACAGAACTGGAATTGTCACCCGTTAATTTTAACCTACGAATTAAGTGCACCGATTCCGCTTCTTAAAAGAAAGAAGAACGTTTAAGAACTATTATGTGAGGCAGTGGTTGGGGGGTGCGCAGTTTTATTGTGCCCACACCAGGTTTTCGCGATGTTTGTGTCTGACATTGATGTGGAACTGTGAGACATCAATGTGGTGTACGTGAACAATGAATGCACAGAACTGGAATTGTCACCCGTCAAACAAATATTCCGTTATTGAATGTGCATGTATTACGTGTATATTTAAGTTAGCGGGGAGGGGAGGGGAGGGGAGGGCGGATTTCGGGCGACTGCTGGAAACTAAATCCTTATTGCCCCGTGAAGTATATAATAATATATTTGTAAATACAATACAACTGATAATTAAACCATTAACAACTTCCTGTCAGTTTAAGTGTATTTGTTAACATGTACATGCATATCCGTGTGTTTACATTTCTGTCATAATAAAAGTGCTGTCAGTACCTTTGTACAGATTGTCTTTCTTGTTTAAATGAATACATAACACACACCACACCACTGTGGAACTCGTTCTACGATGTGAAAAGGGATCGTTTCAGCGCTTGGTTTTTTTCGTGGAACGCGACGCATGTCTTTGTAACAAACATCAGTTAACGATGTGTGATGTGAAGGGAGAAATGGTAGTTAAAATCTCATGTGACCCCGTTACTTACAAATACATATTGTTTCCATATATATTGATGCTGTTTTGTTCATTCATCCAAGGACAAGTTTAGAAAACATGAGCGATCACAACACTGCCGACAAGCTGGTTAATTTACATATACTTATAATTCCATGAAACAGTCGTGAATGCCATGGTTATCTATCAGAAGTATGGAAAATAGTTTACAGATATACATCCGTTTCATCGTCAGTATTAATACCTCGCCAAGGCTCTGAACTCACTATATACCACTGGGAACAGATAACACGTACTTTCTCGTTGCCCAAAGGTTATTTCTGTAAATAATAAGTTTGCTTCAATCGATAAAACGGTATATGATCGGTTACGGATGTTTCGTGAATTGTAAACAGGATCTTACACAGCATATATGCTTCTGTTCTCGAAATAATATTCTGCCCAGATCATACACATATTAATGGCAAATGTTTCCGTTTATTTGGCGTAGAATATGCTTGTGAATAAGGGTGCTAAACCTACAGATGCAAGTGTCACATCCGCGTAGAAGAAGGTTGTAGTTTCTCTAAATTGCAGCTATGTTTCAATTAAAAAGTCACCAATTACATATGACAGTGTCCCTTCTTCAATTGCACATTTGATTTACCAGGGGTGTTTGTGTTTATTGCTTTTCCTCAAATTCTGTTGAGACAATCGATGTTAGGTGTTATTTGTGTAAATGTGAACAAGGTTCAGTTTTCAACCGTGTTTCGCTGTCGGGAACAACAGTGACGTAATCAGCTGTTTAATGTTTGGCAGAGTAAGAAGTAGTCACGCATACAAAAAAAGCCATTATGTTACTATGATATTAGGCCACAGGGGACACCAGAAATGGGCTTCATACATTGAATCCATGTGGGGACTAGGACCTGTGACCTGTGACCTGTGAACGCTCTAACTAATAGTCTACCCCTCCTTCACCCATCTACTACCCATCCGTGTACCCATCACAGCCCTCCCCCCCCCCCCCCCCCCCCCCCCCTACACACACACACACACACATCCCCCACCAATATAACATTCTCGTCCCATAATGCCAGCTTTACAGTTCTAGCCCACTGAGATACCACGCCGCAGTATAACGTGGCTGCATACAGTCACATTTAACTGACACCGAGGCTGTCAGCCTTGTTTTATCACCTCAAAAAAGTCATCGAATCACGTCAAAGCCAAAATATTCAACACTTTAAATACAATAGTTGTTATGCACATGTCAATACAAAGGGGGACACAGCTTAACAAAATGATTTTATTTTACCTTCTAAAAGTCAATGTTTCGTAAACATATTGTTTCATAACAATGCGCTTGCGCCACCTATGCATCTATCATCATCTCATCATCAGGATCGAACACAGTCAGTCATCGGACCACGGAAGTAGGAGTAAACACACCTACATTGGCTTCACACTGGTTGTGTTTCTCAATCACGTTATATAACTGAAACACTATTCAAAGTGAGATCTATACAAAATCATTCACTCGTTCATTCACCGAGATCACCCTTCATGTACATCTTGGTTTGGTGCGTGTTATAAACCTGTAGACCATCACACAGTGGCGGTTGGTGACGTACAGACGCCTCCGCTTATCAAAGTACAGGCCGTAAGGGAAAGTGATGCCATCCCTTGACGTCAGAACGTCTCTCAACCATGTGCCTGAACTACTCAAATGAACCACTTTGTTTGACATGTCGTCAACAACAAGCATGTCGCCTGTGTTTGTTCCAGTGATGCCGCATGGATTCATTGCTCGGTGTTGTCCTGTGGGTACATAATTAAACACAACATCTCCGTTTGGTGTCATACATAGCACATGACTTCTTGGGGCATGACTGCATGATTCAGCGTCCTCAACACATTCCCCGCCATGTCCAGGATGTCCACACAGGGAGGCGACCCGGATCCTGCTGCCAGGGTAGTCGGTGTCAGGGCTGTCAGACCAAAGTACTTCTTCCTCGTTAAAATGTATGATTGGAGAACAAGGTCAGGGTTCACTTCAATCACTATTATCTCCCTTGTCTCGGGAAGGGTCATGGCCATGTGATGGGCATTAAGTTTTGCAATCCGCCGAGGGGGGCTCTGAACAGAGAGCTTACTCTGACAGGGTTGAGTATTGCGTGTGTAGAAGGATTTGACGCACTTGTTGTTATTATCAGTTACAACTATGGTGTCTGTACCGCCTTCATTGAACACTGCCACATCATAAACATGAGGTAAACTTGTCTCAGCTTCTGTTTGTATGACCACTGTGTCGTGCAGAACTGATGACGATGTAGAATCAAACACATCTTCATATATGGTATCAATTTCACCCAAGCTTACCTCGTGTATATTGTTACAGATCTCTTCACACTCATGCATAAAACATACTTTCTCTCTCAGTTCATATTTTATATCTGAATCTGGGTCGTATACTGTAGGAAACTCCTCTGACTCACACCACAGGTACATCTCATAGATGTCCATTTCACTTCCAGACTCCAGAGCTCTGTCTATCATCACAGAGTGATGACTTATCATCCGCTTGGCCACCTCCTCAGACTTCATTTCAGTTTTCAGTCGCTCGATGTGTTTCTCAGTGGCGTCATCCAGTTGGTCCAGGAGTTGTCGTTCCTTCTTCATTTTGGCTTCTGTGACTGTCTGGATTGTGGATCGGATCTGACACTGAACGGTGACTCTGTTCTTTATTACCTCAGTCCGTTTGGTTTCTAAAACTGTTAGCAAACTGTCTGTTGCTTGTAAATGAGACGCTAGTCTTTCCTTAACTCCTGTAACACAGCTGATCAGTTCTGGCATAACGGATTCAAACGGTAGAATTGCCTCACACTTTCTGTGATACAGGATGCAACAGGACTGACATTGTAGTTTCTTACAATCTTTGCAGTAGAACTGCATGCTTTGATCTGGATGTTGCTTACAGAATGGTTTGCGTCTTTGGTTGATTTTGACCTCTGTGGACAGGTCAGAAACGTCATGGTGACGAGTGGCAGGAATACGTCTGTGAGCCTTCTGGCATCCCTCACAAAGACTGATGTCACAGTCAGCACACCAAGCAGTTGCTGGAGGTGCCGCTCCTTCATCACTACATAGGATGCACTTCGGGTATCTGCAAGTATGCATACAAATGTGTCAGTTATTTTTCAACAATAGAACTATAATATTACGAAATAACCTTTAGCCTTTCAATGTACATACAAGGAATTCACAAACCAGGGATAGAAGAACGTAGCAATGTTAGGATGAGTTCAACACTGGTAGCCTATTCGGAAATACCTTTTGTCTTGGGATTAAATGAATCCAAGAGACCCTGAATCAAAAAGCTGGGTTTCACCTCCTGTGCCCACTCTTCAACTGGCCTGCTTGTGTTGGCAACTTTGGTCATCTTTCTACAGAATGGACAGAGGAGAGACTTGGCACTGATGGCTTATGGTCTGGTTTCAGTGTAGCTAACGACACACTTCCGACAAAATGTGTGATAACACACAAGTGTACAGGGGTCAGCAAAGACGTCCATGCAGATGCTGCACGTCAAGAAGTTGTCTTTCAATTGTCGGTGCACTGCCATCTAAAATGTTAAAATAAAAATATTGGAAATCATCAACTTAACATTATACACATTTTCATCCGTAAGAACACATTTTTGTTTTTGAATGGTATACTGGCAGTTTTTATCAATAATGAACTCACAGAGAGTAGATATGGATACAAGATCGTTAAAGACATAAAGTATTTTGCTGTGTGCTCATGTACCTCCAACACATGTTAATGTTCCGATGCCTAATTATGACTACAATCCTTAACAACATACCAAAGCGTTTGCGTGTGTGTGTGTTTGAGAGAGAGAGAGAGAGAGTGAGTGAGTGAGTTGGGTTTAACGCCGCTTTTAACATTATTCCAGTTTTATCGCGGCGTGTCAGCTTAACGTGGGAGGAAAGCCCGAAGTGATGCAGGTCTTAGACGTTTACCACTTCGGTGAAACCTACGAGCACGGGTATGGTGCTGACAAACCTAGAAACATAATCGGGATGAACCGGGATTCGAACCCACAATCATAGGTTTCTGGCGTGTCCAGGGGATGCAACTCTGCACAGCGAATCGCGGTGCCTTAGACGACTGGGCCACCCGTGCCCCGAGAGAGAGAGAGAGAGAGAGAGAGAGAGAGAGAGAGAGAGAGGGTGAGAGAGAGAGAGAAAGAGAGAGACAGAGAGAAAGAGAGAGAATGGATGTGAATGTATGTGTGTGGCTGCGTGTACTTGATTAATGCCGGTTTCATAGTGCTAGCCCACTGAGACACCATGCCACAGTTTAACATTCCTGAGAAACAATGTGTAAAATGCTGGACTTCCTCATTGATAACATCTATGTAAACTTTTTGGAAAGACATTTATGTAAGACGTAGGCATCCCCACGTGTGCCAATTGTGCTCCACTTCTTACTGATCTGTTCCTTTATGCATATAAATAATAGTACATTGTTCAACACTATGTTATTTGGCCAAGAAGTTCAATTAATGCTTCAGGTATATCGATGATCTGATATCCTTCAATAACCATCAAGTAGCCAATTCCCTTCCATTGATTTACCCACCTGAACTAGAAATAAAGGAGACAAACCGCCTCATCTGTTTCATGTTCCGATCAATGCACAAAGATTCCAAGCGGAAAACATTCTCCTCAAGACTGTATTGCAATATTCCTGCAGCTCCAGTTTTTGGTGTTTACATGTCGCAGCTTTTGAGGAACAATCGAGCATGTTCTTTGTACAAAGGGCGTCAAACGACACTTGCTCACAAGTTGTTTGATCAAGGTTACCACATTCATGGCCTCATGAAGCTTTCAAAACGTTCTATGGTAGACATGTGAAGGACATTTCCAAATTTGACGCATCGGTGACAAAAATGATGTCCAATGTAATTCCTTGTTTTGACTTGTAACATGTTCCCGTGTTTGTTATGTGAACAATTGACTTGCCTTTGCATGTGTTTTTTTACGGTTGGGACAGGACTCGCTAGACTTTTCGCTAAGACCTCCCATCATCACAATAAAACACAGGCTCCTGATATAGTCATTTCAGCCGAGATTTCCTGTGAATATGGCAAGGCTGTGTCGCTTTTTCTTGCAGAGGGCGATGAGAACAAAAACACTCATTGTCTCATACTAGCCATATATATTCACTAATTAAATAATTGAAATGTGAAAAGTCCCATCTTGACGATTTAAGCAACGACAGCACCGACGACGACAACAACACCGCCTCTTCCCGTCTGTGAGGACAAACTATCAACATGCAGCATCTATAAGTCTGTCTGCGAGTCGGACACACAACAGAGGTGGGCGCTGTTGTACTGTGCCAAGACTTGCCACCTGTGTAGTAAGTCAGCTCACGACGATACACTAATACTACTTGTATACATGTACATGTGTATTCATGTGTAGATAATCATGTCAGTCTGGTCTGATTTCAGTTAGTATATATAAAATACAAATGTCCTAAGATGAGCTGTATTATTTACTGAACCGGTTTCATGAATGTGATTTTCAGGAGTCAATACTTAAAGTCTGAACACATCTAAGGGATATTAGAATGAGTCTAAGACTGACATTACGTGTCAAGGTGGCTACACGTACAGCTGATGTTGTAAAGCTAACGTATTATATATGTGATAATTGTCTCTCCACATGAACTCCCTACCATTGTTTCACTGGTTTTCGTTCTTTTTGTCTGTCTGTCTCTTTTTGTCTCTCTGTTTGTCTGTCTGCATGTCTGTCTGTCTCTCTCTCTCGCCCCATATCCTACTCTCTATACCTCTCCCCCCAATACCCCAATCTCTCAACTCAGGATCATTCTAAATGTCTACATGATTCCAACTCCAGACAAGACGACAGTGGCGGTAACACGACCAACAAGGGCATTTACTGGTAGGCATCCATTAAAGTCCAGTTCTGCTACTCCTTACATCAAATACTGACATATTATATACTGACATTTTGCTCTCACACGAGGGATACGGGACGTCGGTATGTAGTGTGTAGAAGATATAGTGCATTGTTTAATGTGTGTGGCATGTGGTGTATGTTGTTTGGGGTGAAGTCTGTAGATATAGTGCTAAGTTGCAAAATGTGTGTGGTGTGTGATGTGTAGTGTGTAATGTGTATAGTTTGGGGTGTAGTGTGTAGTATCTTGTGTGTAGTGTACAGTGTGTTGTGTACATTGTTAATCTCCGAGCCGACCAGTCCTTGTTTTAGCCCTTGATACCGAGCGCCAGGCAGAGTAACAACAAGTACAATCTCTTAACGTCTTTTGGTATGACGCGGCCGGGGATCGAAACCCGAACATTCTACTCTCCCGGCTGACGCTCTACCTCTAGACCACGGAGGCGATCCGTTAATGCTGTGGACGTGCATCACCTTCTGCATAGAGCATTGTTTGGACGATGTGTTTGCATTGATTTAGTTTGAACTTGCGTTTTTAAATTTTTTAAATTTTATTTGTAAATTTGTTTCTTTTGGCCGCCTGTTTATATAGTGTTTTGTGTAGAATACGTAACGTGTGGCGTGCAGTGTATATTGTATAGCGTGTAGGACATAATATACCAGTATATATGGGCCGAGGAGTTTTCTCTTTCCAGTCCGTTCCACAACCCATAATGAAGTTCCTTACCAATGACAATGTCAAAAAGTATTTCGTAATACTACAGTGTTTTAATGTCATACTGCCAGGGGCTACAGTACGTCACACGCTGCCGGCGAACTGTGTCAACAAGTGGAGCAACTGTGACTCCTACCCTCACTCGTGTGCGCCAGTGTACAAAGACTGGGCGTCCGCCAACTGTGCCCGCTTCTGCAACTTGTGCTGAGCGTCTTGGAATCTGTACCGAGAAGATGAGGGACGCATTGAGTCTGCACTGCGGGATTTGTTTGCTGTATTACACATATTAAATTACCATGTCAGATGACATCAACATACGTCGAATATATTGCCTCCAAACAAGGCTATTATCAGAGAGTGGGCCTTTCTTTTTACTAATCTAGATGGTAAACCATGTATACTGTCTCAGTTAGAGTCAGCCGTAGCCTTTATGAGTTTAGGGTAATTGGTTTCAACACATTTACATTCACCGCAGACACAGAGAAGATGTAGTTAAAAGAATGTTTTCTCAATTAGATTTGTAACAGCTGATCTCCTTCGGTATTACGATTGATGAACGTACGTTACACGCAGGACCAATATGACTACAGAGGGGGAGGGTGTTTTGTGATGGGGCTAGGGTTGAGGGGTATTGGGAGGAGTCGGATGTGTGTGTGTGTGTGTGTGTGTGTGTGTGTGTGTGTGTGTGTGTGTGTGTGTGTGTGTGTGTGTGTGTGTGTGTGTGTGTGAGTGTGAATGAGTGATTGTGAGAGTGAGCTTTGCCTTGATTATGATGTTTTTGCTGCCCGCACCATGCCCGTGCCTGTAGTTTCCCAACCTGTTTAACTCAAACGCCTTTCAAAGTTTACCATAACTCACTCGCTGAAAGACTTTAACACCGCTTGATTAACAGTATTTCAGTTACATCACGCCGGCAGAGTGTTTGTGGACGGACTCGATGTAGTTAATAGACGTTTACAACTTTGGTGAAACCCACGTGCACAGGTATGGTGCTGACAACCCTAGAAACAATCAGGGCGAATCTGTGATACGAACTAACGACATCAGGCATGGTCTAAGGGAAGCAACTCTGCACAGTCTATTACGCGCCTTACACAACTGAGCTCCTAGTTGGGAACTGAGCCAAACTGAATGGAATCAAATATTCTTTACATTACTTTTGACTCATGTGATTCATGCATAGGAAATGTAGGATGATCATATCGGAATCGAATAAGTCAATTCTTTCAAATAGTTCAATAAATTACAGATACACTGATAAACAATAAATAGACGACAAACATCAGGAAAACGAAACACTGTTGTGGATTATACACTGGACGCGTCCCTGCATGTCAGTTGCGATCAGTGTTTTACCTGCAGTGACTAGACTGGTTACCAGTATGTGCGCATCAGATAACGCATACCAGTTTAGCGAACCCCCCTTCGACACGCCGGGACACAATCGACATGGCGTCAGGCAGACTTGAAGAATGAGAGGTTAAAACTACTGACAATTAAAGGTAATGTGAGCATTGGCAACATGGAAGTGTGTGTGACGTCCCGTATATACTTGATCAGTGTGACATGCCACAGGTATGTGGATGGTGTGAAAATAGCTTCATACTTCCTGGTTGGACATGGCCGTACAGTCCCTGCCGTGTGTTGTATGATAAGAGTGAGTTACAGTTTATTTTGAACATTGCAACAGCAAAATGTCAGCAATATCGATCCAGATCCATTGTCAAAACTTGTTTTTATTCAAAGTAACAGATGCCAGTGTTATAAGACTACACGAGTCCATCTATTCCTAGAATAGAAGGGCGGATCAAGCATTTCTGGGGAGGGGTCCAACATATCCAAATCCTCGTTCAGATAAGTTTACTGCCTACACAATTTTTTTTTTAAAAGAAAGAGGAGGGGGACCTTGGACACCCCCCATCCCTCCCTGGGTCAGCCAACAGAATCAAAGATTCTACTTTCGTTATGCAAATGTGCTGGATTGAGTCATGTCCATATATAAGCATTTTACGGACGTTTCAACATGATTGAGCTGGCGGTGGTTCATGCAAGGGGTGTTACACAAAACTGAAACTTGTCGTAAACTTGCGATGTCCTGAAACCAACCAACCAACCAACCAGCCAATCAGTCAACAAATCAATCAGTATGTTTTCATGATACGGATGAGGCCAAAGGCCGGGTTGTTACAAGTTCTCAGAGCATTACAAATGAACAAATATATCATTCTTATGGATTCTGTGCAATATTTTGCAAAATTTGTTAACATTTCCATTGATTTCTGGACTAATTACACATTTGTTGCAACTTGTACAAAGTCTATGTTTTCTTAAAATATTTGCACAATGCCACTTTCAATACATAAATCACGTGAACTATAATGGTGTCCAGAAAGAGCTATGCAAACTTATGTCAAATTACAATTTAGAAGATAATGTTCTACTATTATAGTAGTCTTGAATATAGTCCTGCACCATTACTGTGGAATATGTATTTCATAAAAGCCAAACCTATCTAGTTTTATATAAAAACAAGTCTAGCCAGTCCTAGGCAGCTGTAACAAGCCCTATGAAATCAGCATCAGGAAAATTAATTGTTTTTATTTAGGAAGAGAGAAATGTTATGTGTAATAAAATATTTCAAAGACGATATATTAGTCTGTCACAGTGTTAGTGTAGTAATTAGCTTTGCTGGAGCTGGACAAGTCATTACTTGAAATTATGATAAAAAATCTTTCACTTCACCTCAACTGAAAATATGAAATTCACAAAAGGGTCAAAATCTAAAATTGTTTGTTCATAAATATGTTTTACTATTACAGATGGCGATGCACAAGACATTGACAGACAACTTCTTGACGTGCAGCATCTGCATGGACGTCTTTGATGACCCCTGTACACTTGTGTGTTATCACACATTTTGTCGGAAATGTGTCGTTAGCTACACTGAAACCAGACCAGAAGCCATCAGTGCCAAGTCTCTCCTCTGTCCATTCTGTCGTAAGATGACCAAAGTAGCCGACTCAAACAGGCCAGTTGAAGAGTGGGCACAGGAGGTGAAACCCAGCTTCTTGATTCAGGGTCTCATGGATTCCTTCGCTCCCTGCAGTCAAGGTATAAGTATACACCAGACCATGGTGGTTGGACTTCCACTCAATCCATATAACATTACTTGAATATCTCTGTCATTTCTTTCAGTGGCACACTATTGGACCTGCAGTCAATCCTGTAACATATTTGCTCGTTTGCTCGTTTGAGACAAATTATTGATTCTGAAGTAATGTAATTGACCTTGTCTGGTCACAATGCCACGTAATGTTAACGCCTTTATTATTGCATACGAACACAAAAATACATTTCTCAATTTATTGTTGTATTAACGTAATTTTGTAATTTTCAAGTTTAATAGAATTATATTTTTAGTGATATTCTAACATGTCATCGCAAGAATGACTTGTAAGCTTTTAAAGACGAGTGCTACTTGTAGTTTTTTTTTATTACCAGTTGATAGGTACATAATTTTAACAGGTACTGTATTTTCTATGTTGGAATTCCAAAATGAACCAACCTAAACGTGAAATGCGTACTTGATTATTCCAGTTATACATCGCGTGTCAGTTTGATGTGTGTGAAAAACTCGATCCGATGTCAAATGTCACTTTGGTGAAACCCACGAGCACACGAATGGTACCGACATACCATGAAACATAATGAGGGCGACTCTGGGATTTGAGGGATGCAGACATGCAGATTTAGAAGACTGCGTCACTGGTGCCCCTTAAATGGGTACTGATAAAGGAAAGGATAATTGTGTTTATAAAGATGACGCAAATAGGTGCTCTTATATTCATATTTTCTATTCATGTGAAGCACTTTATAAGTGCATCCTAACAGAACCTATATTTCTCTGTACACCACCTTAAAAAATATCTATGTCAGCATAATACATGTGTATCTTTCTTTTCAGCAACAAATAACTGCAACTTATGTGATGAGGACGGGGAGACAACTCCAACCAATGCTTGGTGCGTCGAATGTAACGTCCCACTCTGTGATGGATGCCTGAAGGCACATAGACGTATCCCTGCCTCCCGTCACCATGACGTATCTGACTTGTCACGGGATGTCAAGGTGAAGAAAAGACGCAAACGTATGTGTAAAGAACATCCAGATCAGAGGATTCAGTTCTACTGCAAGGACTGTAAGAAACTGCAATGTCAATCGTGTTGCATCTTGTATCACAGAAAGTGTTAGTCCATTGTCTCGCTTGAATCTGTGTTGCCTGAAATGCAAAACACTCTTCAAAATGTAAAGCAGAAACTAGAGTCTGATTTAGCAACATCAAACACTCGCCTTGCAAAGAAGGAAGCACAATGTACTGAAATTAACGAGAACAAGTCCAGCCTTCAGTCTCAGGTCCGATCAGCAACCCACACCGCCATTGACTTTATAAAGAAGAAGGAAAGACAACTCCTGGAACAAATAGATGACGTCACAGAGAAACAAATAGGACAGCTGAAAGGAGACATGAAGCGTGAGGAGATGTCCAGGCAGAAGATTCGTCAACACTCGGAGTTGCTGGGCAGAGCTCTGGAGTCTGAGAGTGACGTGGACATCTGTGAGATGTATCTGTGGAGTGAGTCGGAGGAGGCAGCCACTGTGTGTGTCCCGGAGTCAGGTATGGAGGATGTATCTGGGGGCAAGGCTTGTTTCATACACGATCGTCATCTGATGTGTGAGGAACTAAACGATCTACACTTGGGTGTGATTGATATCATTGTTGAAGATGTTTTTGATTCTACATCTACAGCAGTTCTGTATGACACAGTGGACATATATGCAGAAGATGATAAGGAAAAACCCGAAGCTTATGACGTGGCAGTGTTTGTTGTCGACAACACAGACACTATAGTTGTCACAGATTACAACAATTGTGTGAAATCCTTCTACAAAAGAAACAAGAAGTCATGTCAGAGTAAGCTGGGGTTACAAAGCTCCCCTCGACGTATTGCTAAAATAAACAACAGTAAAATGGCTGTGACTCTCCCTGACACTAAGAAAATAATAATAGTAGAAGTGAAGCCTGAGCTGGTTCTTCAATCAACCATCTCGACAAGGAAGGGGTACCACGGTCTGACATCCCTGACACCCACAACCCTGGCAGCAGGATCCGTGGATCCTCCCTGTGTGGACATCCTGGACATGGCGGGGAATGTGTTGAGGACCCTGGATCTTGTCACAGATGGAAGGAAACTTGTATCCAATCCTTGGTTCCTCAGTACCACCACGCAGGGTAACATCCTCGTGTCTTGCGATGGATTCGTAGCTGGCAGAGTCCTCTGTGTGACGCCTCATGGAGGTGTTGTGTTTACGTATCAGCCTTTACAGCAGAGTCCTTCCCCTCGTGGAATCACTGAAACCAACAAAGGACATATCCTGGTTATAGATTGCACTGCAAAATGTGTGATTCAACTCAGCGCTTCTGGGTCGTTTGTGAGGGAAGTGTTGACGTCACGTGATGGTATTACATCTCCGTATTGTCTCTACCTGTCTGAAAGTCAGCACCTGTATGTCATCGATGGTTACTGTGTGAAGATCTACAGATTTACAAGAAACACCTAAGATGTGGAAGCATAACGGTTGTTCCTGATAGAATCCGTCACCATCTGAGTGACAATAGTTTATGTAAATATGAATTTCCAATACAAGAGAACAATCAGTCTAGACTGTCCGCCGAAACAGAATAAAATTTGACGTAAAGTGCAAAATAGTTATGAAATTTATATGGATGGACCAGTGATATTGGGTGATGACACCAGGTGTTCGCGAAAAGGGTAAGCATGCCCGGCAAACAAATATTCTGTTACTGAATGTGCATGTATTGCGTGTATATTTAGGTTAGCGGGGAGGGGAGGGCGGATTTCGGGCAAGAGCAAAGGTCACCAACAACGTGTGCCAGTTGTTGGAGGCGACTTAATGGATCAGGTGACCTGGTTGATTGTATGTCATCGTATCCCAAATACATGGATCGATGCTCATGATATCAATCACTGGACTATCTGACCACACTGGATTAATTACAGCCCACCCTCATATAGCTGGAATATTGCCGAGTGCTGCTACGAACAACAAACAAACAATTGGCGCGCATTTTTTGTGGCATGTAAGCAACTGCTAAAAAGTAAAGCCTTGTTGCCTCGTGAAGTATATAATTATATATTTGTAAATACAATAAAACTCTGATAATTAAACCATTAACCACTTCCTGTCAGTTTAAGTGTATTTGTAAACATGTACATGCATAAACAGGTGTTTACATTTCTCTCATAATAAAAGTGCAGTCACTACCTTTGTACAGATTGTCTTTCTTGTTTAAATGAATACATCACACACACCACACCACTATGGAATCCGTTCTACGACGGGAATATATGTTAGAAGATGGGAAAAGGGATCGTTTCAGCGCTTGGTTCTTTTCGTGGAACACGACGCATGTCTTTGTAACAAACATCAGTCAACGCTTTGTGATGTGAAGGGAGAAATGGTGGTTAAAATCTCATGTGACCCCGTTACTTACAAATACATATTGTTTCCATATATAGTGATGCTGTTTTTTTCGTTCATCCAAGGACAAGTTTAGAAAATCTGAGCGAATGTGTCTGTTCGTCGACACCAACCACAACACTGCCGACATAATCCCACGAAACAGTCGTGAATGCCATGGTTATCTATCAAAAGTATGGAAAATAGTTTACAGAAATACATCCGTTTCATCGACAGTATTAATACCTCACCAAGGCTCTGAACTCACTATACACCACTGGGGACAGATAACACGTACTTCCTCGTTGCCCAAAGGTTATTTCTCGAAATTATCAGTTTGTTTCAATCGATAAAACGGTATATGATTGGCTACGGATGTGTCGTGAATTGCCAAAAGAATCCTACATAGCATATATGTCTCTGTTCTCGAAATAATATTCTGCCCAGATCATATAAATATAAATGGCAAATGTTTCCATATGTTATTTTTAACCGTTTATTTGGCGCAGAATCGACTTGTGATTAAGATTGCTAAACCTATAGATGCAAGTGCGACATCCGCGTCGAAGCAGGCTTAGTTTCTCTAATGGCAGCTATGTTTCAATAAAAAAGTCACCAATTATATATGACAATGTCCATTCTTTAATTTCACATTTGATTTACCAGGGGTATTTATGTTTATTGCTATATCTCATATTCTGTTTTGACTCTCGATGCGAGATATTATGGTTCAGTTTTCACCGGTGTTTCGTTGTCGGGAACAACAGTGACGCCATCAACTGTTTGAATGTTTGGCAGAGTAAGAGATGGGCTTTATACATTGTATCCATGCGGGCACTAGGACCCATGCCTCTGGCGTGACAAGCCAAGCTTTAACTACTAGTCTACCCCTCCTTTACGAACACCCCCTCCCGCGCCTTCGGGAAGATCTGTGTTTGAATCTTCAGAAACCCATGCTTGTCGTATGAGTTGACAAACGGGATCGGGTGGTCAGGCTCGCTGACTTGGTTGATGCATGTCACCGTATTCCAATCGATCGATGGTCATGATGTTAATCACTGGAACTTCAGACCGCCGTCTTGTAGCTTGAAGAGTGTTGAGTGCGGCGTTAATGAACCTACCGTCCAACCATCAAACAAACAGTAAGCTGTAGCAATAGGTGACTGATATATTAAGGTGTTATGAAGAAATGAAGCTTTTCTCATTTTGACGTGACAGTTTGACTCCGTTGGATACATATCCGTGAGGTATTAGTGATTTGTTTGTTTGTTTGTTGTTTATCGCCGCACGTACAGACGCCTCCGTTTATCAAAGTACAGACCATAAGGGAAAGTGATGCCATCCCTTGACGTCAGTACGTCTCTCAACCATGTGCCCGAACTACTCGTCAACAACAAGCATGTCGCCTGTGTTTGTTCCAGTGATGCCGCATGGATTCATTGCTCGGTGTTGTCCTGTGGGTACATAATTAAACACAACATCTCCGTTTGGTGTCATACATAGCACATGACTTCTTGGGGCATGACTGCAAGATACCAGGATGTAACCTTGACTGGTGGTAGATAGGAATAAAGGATCTGATACAAGGGTCCCCCCTACTATGACAGGATTCAGCGTCCTCAACACATTCCCCGCTATGTCCAGGATGTCCAAACAGGGAGACGACCCGGATCCTGCTGCCAGGGTAGTAGGTGTCAGGGTCGTCAGACCAAAGTACTTCTTCCTCGTTGAAATGTATGATTGAAGAACAAGGTCAGGGTTCACTTCAATCACTATTATCTCCCTTGTCTCGGGAAGGGTCACGGCCATGTGATGGGCATTAAGTTTTGCAATCCGCCGAGGGGGGCTCTGAACAGAGAGCTTACTCTGACAGGGTTGAGTATTGCGTGTGTAGAAGGATTTGACACACTTGTTGTTATTATCAGTTACAACTATGGTGTCTGTACCGCCTTCATTGAACACTGCCACGTCATAAACATGAGGTAAACTTGTCTCATCTTCTGTTCGTATGTCCACTGTGTCGTGTAGAACTGATGTCGATGTAGAATCAAACACATCTTCATATATGGTATCAAATTCACCCAAGCTTACCTCGTGTATATTGTTACAGATCTCTTCACAATCATGCATAAAACATACTTTCTCTCTCAGTTCATATTTTATATCTGAATCTGGGTCGTATACTGTAGGAAACTCCTCTGACTCACACCACAGGTACATCTCATAGATGTCCATTTCACTTCCAGACTCCAGAGCTCTGTCTATCATCACAGAGTGATGACTTGTCACCTGCTTGGCCATCTTTTCAGGCTTCATTTCAGTTTTCACTCGCTCGATGTGTTTCTCAGTGGCGTCATCCAGTTGGTCCAGGAGTTGTCGTTCCTTCTTCTTTATGGCTTCTGTGACTGTCTGGATTATGGATCGGATCTGACACTGAACGGTGACTCTGTTCTTTATTACCTCAGTCCGTTTGGTTTCTAAATCTGTTAGCAAACTGTCTGTTGCTTGTAAATGAGACGCTAGTCTTTCCTTAACTCCTGTAACACAGCTGATCAGTTCTGGCATAACGGATTCAAACGGTAAAATTGTGATACAGGATCACTTTCTGTGATACAGGATGCAACAGGATTGACATTGCAGTTTCTTACAATCTTTGCAGTAGAACTGCATGCTTTGATCTGGATGTTGCTTACAGAATGGTTTGCGTCTTTGGTTGATTTTGACCTCTGTGGACAAGTCAGATTCGTCATGGTGACGAGTGGCAGGAATACGTCTGTGAGCCTTCTGGCATCCCTCACAAAGACTGATGTCACAGTCAGCACACCAAGCAGTAGCTGGAGGTGCCGCTCCTTCATCACCACATAGGATGCACTTCGGGGTATCTGCAAGTATACATACAAATGTGTCAGTTATTTTTCAACAATAGAACTATAATGTTACGAAATAACCTTTAACCTTTCAATGTGCATACAAGGAATTCACAAACCAGGGATATGAAGAACGTAGCAATGTTAGGATGAGTTCAGCACTGGTAGCCTATTCGGAAACACCTTTTGTCTTGGGATTAAATGAATCCAAGAGACCCTGAATCAAAAAGCTGGGTTTCACCTCCTGTGCCCACTGTTCAACTGGCCTGAGTGAGTTGACTACTTTGGTCATCTTACGACAGAATGGACAGAGGAGAGACTTGGCACTGATGGCTTCTGGTCTGGTTTCAGTGTAGCTAACGACACATTTCCGACAAAATGTGTGATAACACACAAGTGTACAGGGGTCATCAAAGACGTCCATGCAGATGCTGCACGTCAAGAAGTTGTCTGTCAATTGTCGGTGCACTGTCATCTAAAATGTTAAGAGAGTAGATATGATACAACGATCTTTAAAGACATGAAGTAGTTTGTGCTCATGTTCCTCCGACACATGTTCATATTCCAATGCCTATCAATGACAACAATGCTGAACAAAATATAAAGGCGGTCAGTAAGTGAGAGCTCAGTTCGTGAGTTACAGTTTTGTGGATGAAAATATTAATGCCTGAAAATAGCTCTCATATCACAGTTCCCAAATAATCACTCCACAATACAAAGACAGAGTTATGTTTTGGAACGCGTTATTGCGTTATTGAGCGAATCCCTTAAGGTGCACATGTGTGTCTATTGGATGCATGTGTAAAGTGTGTGTGTGTGTGTGTGTGTGTGTGTGTGTGTGTGTGTGTGTGTGTGTGTGTGTGTGTGTGTGTGTGTGTGTAAGACACAGAGAGAGAGAATGGATCTGAATGTGTTTATGTATATATGTGGCTGCTTGTACTTAATTCATGCCGGTTTCATAGTGCTAGCACACTGAGACACCATGCCGCATTTTACTATTAAAAGTGAGTGAGTGAGTTGGGTGTAACGTCACTTTTAACATTATTCCAGTTATATCAGGCGTGTCAGCTTAATGTGGGAGGAGAGCCCGAAGTCATGCAGGCCTTAGACGTTTACCACTTCGGTGAAACCCACGAGCATGGGTATGGTGCTGACAATCCCAGAAACATAATCGGGGCGAACCGGGATTCGAACCCACAATCATAGGTTTCTGACGTGCCCAAAGGACGCAACTGTGCACAGCGAATCACGGCGTCGTAGACGACTGGGCCACGCGTGCCCATTTAACATGAATACCACACTCCGACACAATATACTGACTCCAAGCCGACCAGTTCTTGTCTTAGCTCCTTAATGCCGAGGATGTGGCCAGGGATCAGACTAGACACCTTCTGCTGTCTGGGCAGTCGCTCTATCCACTAGACTACGGAGACAGTCTCAGTTGCTATGAAAACATAAACATGATTATTGAGATAATGTCATGAGAATAATATATGTACCTAGATATTGTCAATGAAAGGCACCTGTCATGGTTTGCAAGACAGTCAGATGTTTGTAATTGAAGTATTAATTGATACATGTTAACAAGAGCTGTAACCATGAACCTGATGGTGCAATTTCAGTCCTGTGTCACTAATAGTAATGTCAGAAAATGCTGTCCAATAGGAAGACAATGTACAATACAACACACAGAAATTATACCTCGACACAGAAACAAAGAAAATACCACTTCACTATGATGTAGCACCAGACAACATGCTTGCTCAGTAATCAAGAAAATACCTTTAGCTTCATCAGATGTCTCCTCTAACCATTCTTCTGGACTGACTGTCTGTCTCGGTATTGTAAGAGGCGGGGCTGTACACTGACACAGGCTGCTCATAAACGCTCTCACGCAGCTAGCTGGTCACCATATGTTGCAATATCGATAGTAAATGCAGTATAACATTTGTATTGTGCATGTTTTTTGTATGACTGCACACATATTGCATCTGAGGCGATGTTTGGTGGGCGGAAGTGTTGTAATATGTCGAGAATTCAATCAAACTGAGTATTTACAAGTTCAACTTTTGAGTTCATGCAAAAGATTCCATTTTGCGAAAGGGTTTAAATGCTTTACCAAATATCCTGAAACAAAGGAATGCTAGTGGATGTTGAAGCACATGTTGTATCGTGTGAAGGTATGTATATTTCAATATTACAATTACTATAAGTTACAAACAGGGCCCATTCTCAGACATTAAGCTGATTAGCCGTTATATTGCTGAATTATTGTTCAAAGAGCAGTCAATAAAACTTAATGACGACATTATGATGTAGCTGCTTGTCTATCGGTTCAAATATTGATTTGTATTGTTCACGTCAGGTATCACGAGAATTGCAATATTTTTTATGACGTAATGTATTCTGGTGACCGAAAACATGAGTGTCGCTCATATCTCCTCATGCAGTTTCATAAAAAAACTCCTGCCATCAATAGTAAGCTCAAAGAGGGTACAATTATTGAAAGACATAGACGTGTTAACAATTTACAAAAATGAACCCTTGTAAACCAAGGTGACCACAAGCTGCCTTTACATACTAGTACAACCCGTGTGGACGTGTATCACTTTCTGCATAGAGCATTGTTTGGACGATGTGTTTGCATTGATTTAGTTTGAACTTGTGTTTTTAATTTATTGCAATTTCATTTATAAATTTGTAAAGTTTGTTTTGGCCGCAGGTTTATATCACTGTTTAGTGTAGAATAAATAACGTGTGGGGTGTAGTGTATACTGTATAGCGTGTATATAATGTGCTGGCGAGTTTTACCAAGTACAATGTCTACAAGTTTTTCGTAATCCTAGTGTTTCAATGTCATCCTGTTTCACTGCAAGGGGCAACAGTACGTCACGCGCTTCCGGCGACCTGTGTCGACAAGTGGAGCAACTGTGACTCCTACCCTCACTCGTGTGCGCCAGTGTACAAAGACTGGGCGTCCGCCAACTGTGCCCGCTTCTGCGTCTTGGAATCTGTACCGAGAAGAGGAGGGACGCATATAGTCTGCACTACGAAATTTTGTTGCTGTAAACACATATTAAATGACAATGTCAGATGACATCAACATACGTCGAATATATTGCCTCCAAACAAGGTTATTATTAGAGAGTGGGCCTTTCTCTTTACTAATCTAGCTGGTAAACCAGGGATACTGTCTCAGTTAGAGCCCACGGTAGCCTTTATGAGTTTCGGGTAATTGGCTTCAACAGATTTACATTGACCGCAGACACAGAGAAGATGAATTTGAAAGAATGTTTTCTCAATTAGATTTGTAACAGCTGATCTCCTTCGGTATCAAGATTGATGAACGTACGTTACACGCAGGACCAACATGGCTACAGAGGGGGAGGATGTTGTGGGATGGGGCTGGGTTGAGGCGTATTGGGAGTAGTTTGTGTGTTTGTAATGGATACCCGCATGCAGTGTAATGAAACCCAACCAGTCACTCCTTGTTTTATTCCCTAAACATCGAAAACAGGGAAACAACAAGTGTTATCTTTTAACGTGTTGTGCTATGACGCTGCCAAAGGATCGAAAGCTCAAAAGTTAGCTGTGCAGAGTTGCTGTGCGGAATTCATGCTTTGCCTTGATTATGATGCTTTTGCTGCCCGCACCATGCCCGTGCCTGTAGTTTCCCAACCTGTTTAACTGAAACGCCTTTCAAAGTTTACCAAAACTCACTCGCTGAAAGACTTTAACAGCGCCTAATTAACAGTATTTGAGTTACATCACGTCGACAGAGTGTTTGTGGTCGGACTCGATGTAGTTAATAGACGTTTGCAACTTTGGTGAAACCCACGTGCACAGGTATGGTGCTGACAACCCTAGAAACAATCAGGGCGAATCCGTGATCCGAACTAACGACATCAGGCATGGTCTAAGGGAAGCAACTCTGCACAGTCTATTACGCGCCTTACACAACTGAGCTCCTAGTTGGGAACTGAGCCAAACTGAATGGAATCAAATATTCTTTACATTACTTTTGACTCATGTGATTCATGCATAGGAAATGTAGGATGATCATATAGGAATCGAATAAGTCAATTCTTTCAAATAGTTCAATAAATTACAGATACACTGATAAACAATAAATAGACGACAAACATCAGGAAAACGAAACACTGTTGTGGAGTATACACTGGACGCGTCCCTGTTTGTCAGTCGCTATCAGTGTTTCACCTGCAGTGACTAGGCTGGATACCAGTATGTGTGCATCAGACAACGCATATCAGTTGACCGACCCGCCCCTCGACACGCCAGGACACAGTCAACATGGCGTCAGGCAGACTGGAAGAATGAGAGGTTAAAACCACTGACAATTAAAGGTAATGTAAGCATTGGCAACATGGAAGTTTGTTTGACGTCCCGTATATACTTGATCAGTGTGACATGCCACAGGTATATGGAAGGTGTAAAAATAGCTTCATACTTCCTGGTTGTACATGGTCGTATGGTCCCTGCGTGTGCTGTATTATAAGATTGAGTTATAGTGTCAGCAATATCGATCCAGATCCATTGTCAAAACTTGTTATTATTTAAAGTAACAGATGAAAGTGTTATTTAAACTACACGAGTCCATCTATTCCTAGAATAGAAGGGCGGATCAAGCATTTCTGGGGAGGGGTCCAAAATATCCAAATCCTCGTTCAGATAAGTTTACTTAAAAGAAAGAGGAGGGGGACCCTGGACACCCCCACCCCTCCCTGGGTCAGCCAACAGAATCAAAGATTCTACTTTCGTTATGCAAATGTACTGGAATGAGTCATGTCCATATATAAGCATTTTACGGACGTTTCAACATGATTGAGCTGGCGGTGGTTCATGCATCGGGTGTTACACAATACTGAAACTTGTCGTAAATTTGCGATGTCCTGAAACCAACCAACCAACCAATCGGTCAACAAATCAATCAGTATGTTTTCATGATACGGATGAGGCCAAAGGCCGGGTTGTTACAAGTTCTCAGAGCATAACAAATGAACAAATATATTATGGATTCTGTGCAATATTTTGCAAAATTTGTTTACACGTCCATTGTGGTAAAACTAGTGATTTAGATACTATTTTCTGAACTAATTATACATTTTGACATCATATGTTGCAACTTGTAGTGCAAAATCTCTTAAAATATTTGCACAATGCCACTTTCAATAAAAAAATCACTTGAGCTATAACGAGTCCAGAAAAAGATAGCAAACTTATGTCAAATTACAATTAGAAGATCATTAATGGTCTACTATTAAAGTAGTCTTGAATATGCAGTTAGTTAGTGTCAGTGTAAGTGTAGTAATTTACTTTGTTGGAGCTGGACAAGTCATTACTTAAAATTATGATGATAAATCTTTCACTTCACCTCACCTGAAAATATGTAATTCACAAAATGGTCAAAATCTAAAATTGTTTGTTCATAAATATGTTTTACTATTACAGATGGCGATGCACAAGACATTGACAAACAATTTACTGACTTGCAGCATCTGCATGGACGTCTTTGATGACCCCTGTACACTTGTGTGTTATCACACCTTTTGTCGGAAATGTGTCGTTAGCTACACTGAAACCAGACCAGAAGCCATCAGTGCCAAGTCTCTCCTCTGTCCATTCTGTCGTAAGATGACCAAAGTAGCCAACTCAAACAGGCCAGTTGAAGAGTGGACACAGGAGGTGAAACCCAGCTTCTTGATTCAGGGTCTCATGGATTCCTTCGCTCCCTGCAGTCAAGGTATAAGTATACACCAGAGACCATGGTGGTTGGACTTCCACTCAATCCATATATTTTTAATTCATCTTAAACACAGGCAACAGTATTTACCCATCTATGACAGACTCGTTTTTGTCCTAACATTACTTGAATATCTCTGTCATTTCTTTCAGTGGCACACTATTAGACCTGCAGTCAATCCTGTAACATATTTTCTCGTTTGCTTTTGAGACAAATTATTGATTTTCATGATGTTATTGACCTTGTCTAGTCACAATGACACTGTAATATTAACGCCTTTATTTTTGCATACGAACACAAAAATACATTTTTCAATTTTGTTGTTGTATTAAATTAATTTTGTAATTTTCAAGTTCATAGAATTATATTTTTAGTGATATTCTAACATGTCTTCGCAAGAATGACTTTTAAGGTTTTTAAGACGAGTGCTGCTTGTAGGTTTTTTTATTACCAGTTGATACATGTAGGTATATTTTTTAACAGGTACTGTATTTTCTTTGTTGGAATTCCAAGATGAACCAACCTAAACGTGAAATGTGTACTTGATTATTCCAGTTATAGCATCGCGTGTCAGTTTGATGAGTGTGGAAAACTTGATCCGATGTCAAATATCACTTTGGTGAAACCCATGAGCACAAGAATGGTACCGACATACCATGAAACATAATGAAGGCGACTCTGGGATTTGAGGGATGCAGATGTGCAGATTTAGAAGACTGGGCCCCTCGTGCCCCTTAAATGGGTACTAAAGGAAAGGATAAATGTCTTTATAAAGATTATGCAAATAGGTGCTCTTATATTCATATTTCCTATTCATATGAAGCACTTTCTATATTTCTCTGTACACCACCTTAAATATTATCTATGTCAGCATAATACATGTGTATATTTTTTTATCAGGAACAAATAACTGCAACTTATGTGATGAGGACGGGGAGACAACTCCAGCCAATGCTTGGTGCGTCGAATGTAATGTCTCGCTCTGTAATGGATGCCTGAAGGCACATAGACGTATCCCTGCCTCCCGTCACCATGACGTATCTGACTTGTCAAGGGATGTCAAGGTAAAGAAAAGACGCAAACCTATGTGTAAAGAACATCCAGATCAGAGGATTCAGTTCTACTGCAAGGACTGTAAGAAACTACAATGTCAATCTTGTTGCATTTTACATCACAGAAAGTGTTAGTCCATTGTCTCGCTTGTATCTGTGTTGCCTGAAATGCAAAACACTCTTCAAACTGTGAAACAGAAACTAGAGTCTGATTTAGCAACATCAAACACTCGCCTTGCAAAGAAGGAAGCACAATGTACTGAAATTAATGAGAACAAGTCAAGCCTTCAGTCTCAGGTCCGATCAGCAACCCACACCGCCATTGACTTGATAAAGAAGAAGGAAAGACAACTCCTGGAACAGATAGATGACGTGACAGAGAAACAAATAGGACAGATGAAAGGAGACATTAAGCGTGAGGAGATGGCCAGGCAGATGATTCGTCAACACTCGGAGTTGCTGGGCAGAGCTCTGGAGTCTGAGAGTGACGTGGACATCTGTGAGATGTATCTGTGGAGTGAGTCGGAAGAGGCAGCCACTGTGTGTGTCCCAGAGTCAGGTATGGAGGATGTATCTGGGGGCAAGGCTTGTTTCTTACATAATCGTTTTTTGATGTGTGGGCCACTAAACGATCTACACTTGGGTGTGATTGATATCTTTGTTGAAGATGTTTTTGATTCTACATCTACAGCAGTTCTGTATGCCACAGTGGACATACAGGCAGAAGATGATAAGAAGAAACCCAATGCTTATGACGTGGCAGTGGATTCGTACCTGGCAGAGTCCTCTGTCTGACTCCTCATGGGGATGTTGTGTTCACGTATCAGCCTAAACAACAGTGGCCTTTCTCTGGTGGAATCACTGAGACCAAAACAGGACATATCCTGGTTATAGATTGCAATGCAAAATGTGTGATTCAACTCAGCGCTTCTGGGACGTTTGTGAGGAAAGTGTTGACGTCACGTGATGGTATTACATCTCCGCATGGTCTCTACCTGTCTGAAAGTCAGCACCTGTATGTCACCGATCGTGACTGTCTGAAGATCTACAGATTTACAAGAAACACCTAAGATGTGGAAGCATATCGATTGTACCTGATAGAATCCGTCACCATCTGAGTGACAATAGTTTATGTAAATATGAATTTCCAATACAAGAGAACAATCAGTCTAGACTGTCCGCCGAAACAGATACAAATTTGACGTGAAGTGCAAAATAGTTATGAAATTTATATGAATGGAACACTGATATTGAGTGATGACACCAGGTGTTCGCGAAAAGGGTAAGCATGTCCGGCCCTATCGGTAGCACTCGACAATCACACAATTTGCATGACAAAGGAAGTATTTGTCCCTGACGCGGCACAGATGTACTCGTAACGTGAGACGGCGGCCTGTAAACAAACCAGACAATCAAGTGATCGATGAACCAGAATATCCATTGAAACGTTAGTGCATTAACTGATTTTGTTGAAACTAATCAAACCGATACGTTAATTTTAACCTACGAATTAAGTGCACTGATTCTGCTACTTAAAAGAAAGAAGAACGTTTAATAACATTTATGTGAGGCAGTGATTGGGGGATGCGCAGTTTTATTGTGCGCACGCCAGGTTTTCGCGATGTTGTGTCTGACATTGATGTGGAGCTGTGAGACATCGATGTGGTATATGTGAACAATGAATGCACAGAGCTGGAATTGTCACCCGTCAAACAAATATTCCGTCACTGAATGTGCATGTATTACGTGTATATTTAAGTTAGCGGGGAGGGGAGGGGAGGGCGGATTTCGGGCAAGAGCAAAGGTCACCAACAACGTGTGCCAGTTGTTGGAGGCGACTTAATGGATCAGGTGACCTGGTTGATTGTACGTCATCGTATCCCAAATACATGGATCGATGCTCATGATATCAATCACTGGACTATCTGACCACACTGGATTAACTACAGCCCACCATCATATAGCTGGAATATTGCCGAGTGCTGCTACGAACAACAAACAAACAATTGGCGCACATGTTTTTGTGGCATGAAAGCGACTTCTGGAAAGTAAATCCTTGTTGCCTCGTGAAGTATATAATTATATATTTGTAAATACAATAGAACTCTGATATATACACCTTTAACCACTTCCTGTCAGTTTAAGTGTATTTGTAAACATTTACTTGCATATCCAGGTGTTTACATTTCTGTCATAATAAAAGTGCAGTCACTACCTTTGTACAGTTTGTCTTTCTTGTTTAAATGAATACATAACACACACCACACCACTATGGAACCCGTTCTACGAAGTGAACTTATGTTAAAAGATGTGAAAAGGGATCGTTTCAGCACTTGGTTTCTCCGTGGAACACGACGCATGTCTTTGTAACAAACATCAGTAAACGCTTTGTGATGTGAAGGGAGAAATGGTGGTTAAAATCTCATGTGACCCCGTTACTTACAAATACATATTGTTTTCATATATATTGATGCTGTTTTGTTCATTCATCCAAGGACAAGTTTAGAAAACATGAGCGATCACAACACTGCCGACAAGCTTGTTAATTTACATATACTTATAATCCCATGAAACAGTCGTGAATGCCATGGTTATCTATCAGAAATATGGAAAATAGTTTACAGAAATACATCCGTTTCATCGACAGTATTAGTACCTCGCCAAGGCTCTGCACTCACTATATATCCATCACTATCCCCCATCAATATAACATTCTCGTCCCATAATGCCGACCTTATAGTTCTGGCCCACTGAGATACCACGCCGCAGTATAACGTGGCTGCACACAGTCACATTTAACTGACACCGAGGCTGTCAGCCTTGTTTTATCACCTCAAAATAGTAATCGAATCACGCCAAAGCCAAAATATACAACACTATAAATACAATAGTTTTTATGCACATGTCAATACAAAGGGGGACACAGCTTAACAAAAGGATGTCCACACAGGGAGGCGACCCGGATCCTGCTGTCAGGGTAGTCGGTTTCATGGCCGTCAGACCAAAGTACTTCTTCCTCGTTGAAATGTATGATTGGAGAATAAGGTCAGGGTTCACCTCAATCACTATTATCTCCCTTGTCTCGGGAAGGGTCACGGCCATGTGATGGGCATTAAGTTTTGCAATCCGCCGAGGGGGGCTCTGAACAGAGAGCTTACTCTGACAGGGTTGAGTATTGCGTGTGTAGAAGGATTTGACGCACTTGTTATTATCAGTTACAACTATGGTCTGTACCGCCTTCATTGAACACTGCCACGTCATAAACATGAGGTAAACTTGTCTCATCTTCTGTTTGTATGTCCACTGTGTCGTGCAGAACTGATGTCGATGTAGAATCAAACACATCTTCATATATGGTATCAATTTTACCCAAGCTCACCTCGTGTATATTGTTAGAGATATCTTCACAATCATGCATAAAACATACTTTCTCTCTCAGTTCATATTTTATATCTGAATCTGGGTCGTATACGGTGGGAAACTGCTCTGACTCACACCACAGGTACATCTCATAGATGTCCATTTGACTTCCAGTTGACATTGCAGTTTCTTACAATCTTTGCAGTAGAACTGCATGCTTTGATCTGGATGTTGCTTACAGAATGGTTTGCGTCTTTGGTTGATTTTGACCTCTGTGGACAAGTCAGATACGTCATGGTGACGAGTGGCAGGAATACGTCTGTGAGCCTTCTGGCATCCCTCACAAAGACTGATGTCACAGTCAGCACACCAAGCAGTAGCTGGAGGTGCCGCTCCTTCATCACCACATAGGATGCACTTCGGGGTATCTGCAAGTATACATACAAATGTGTCAGTTATTTTTCAACAATAGAACTATAATATTACGAAATAACCTTTAACCTTTCAATGTACATACAAGGAATTCACAAACCAGGGATAGAAGAACGTAGCAATGCTAGGATGAGTTCAACACTGGTAGCCTATTCGGAAATACCTTTTGTCTTGGGATTAAATGAATCCAAGAGACTCTGAATCAAAAAGCTGGGTTTCACCTCCTGTGCCCACTCTTCAACTGGCCTGTTTGAGTTGACTACTTTGGTCATCTTTCTACAGAATGGACAGAGGAGAGACTTGGCACTGATGGCTTCTGGTCTGGTTTCAGTGTAGCTAACGACACACTTCCGACAAAATGTGTGATAACATACCAGTGTACAGGGGTCATCAAAGACGTCCATGCAGATGCTGCACGTCAAGAAGTTGTCCGTCAATTGTCGGTGCACTGCCATCTAAAATGTTAAAATAAAAATATTGGCATTCTCAACTTAACATCATACACCTTTTCATCCATAAGAACCCATTTTTGTTTTTGAATGATATACGGGCAGTTTTATCAATAATGAACTCACAGAGAGTAGATATGATACAACGATCTTTAAAGACATGAAGTAGTTTTTGCTCATGTTCCTCCGACACATTTTCATGTTCCAATGCCTATCAATGACAACAATGCTGAACGACATATAAAGGCGGTCAGTAAGTGAGAGCTCAGTTCATGAGTTACAGTTTTGTGGATGAAAATATTAATGCTTCACAGTTCCCAAATAATCACTCCACAATACAAAGACAAAGTTATGTTTTGGAACGCGTAATTGGGTTATTGTTTGTCTATTGGATGCATGTGTAAATTTATTTGTGTGTGTGTGTGTGTGTGTGTGTGTGTGTGTGTGTGTGTGTGTGTGTGTGTGTGTGTGTGTGTGTGTGTGTGTGTGTGTGTGTGTGTGTGTGTGTGTGTGTGTGTGTGTGTGTGTCTGTGTGTAAGACAGAGAGAGAGAGACTGGATGTGAATGTGTTTCTGTATGTATGTGGCTGCTTGTACTTAATTAATGCCGGTTTCATAGTGCTAGCCCACTGAAACACCATGCCGCATTTTAACAGGAAAAGTGAGTGAGTGAGTTAGGTGTAACATCGCTTTTAACATTATTCCAGTTATATCAGGCGTGTCTGCTTAATGTGGGAGGAAAGCCCGAAGTGATGCAGGCCTTAGACCTTTACCACTTCGGTGAAACCCACGAGCATGGGTATGGTGCTGACAATCTTAGAAACATAATTGGGTCGAACCGGGATTCGAACCCACAATCATAGGTTTCTGACGTGCCCAAAGGACGCAACTGTGCACAGCGAATCACGGCGCCTTAGACGACTGGGCCACGCGTGCCCATTTAACATGAATACCACACTCCGACACAATATACTGACTCCAAGCCAACCAGTTCTTGTCTTAGCTCCTTAATGCCGCGGATGTGGCCGCGGATCGGACTACAGACCTTCTGTTGTCTGGGCAGTCGCTCTATCCACTAGACTACGGAGACAGTCTCAGTTGCTATGAAAACATAAACATGACCAATGGTTATTGAGATAATGTCATGAGAATAATATATGTACCTAGATATTGTCAATGAAAGGCACCTGTCACGGTTTGCAAGACAGTCAGATGTTTGTAATTGAAGTATTGATTGATACATGTTAAGAAGAGCTGTAACCATGAACCTGATGATCCAGTTTCAGTCCTGTACGTGTCACTAATAGTAATGTCAGAAAATGCTGTCCAATAGGAAGACAATGTACAATACAACAAACAGAAATTATACCTCGACACAGAAACAAAGAAAATACCCTTCACTATGATGTAGCACCAGACAACATACTTGCTCAGTAATCAAGAAAATACCTTTAGCTTCGTCAGATGTCTCCTCCAACCATTCTGCTGGACTGACTGTCTGTCTCGGTATTGTAAGAGGCGGGGCTGTACACTGACACAGGCTGCTCATAAACGCTCTCACACAACTAAGTGTATTGTGTACATAACGACTTTCTGAGCTAGTTGGTCACCATATGTTGCAATATCGATAGTTAATGCAGTATAACATTTGTAATGTGCATGTCTTTGTATGACTGCACACATATTGCATCTGAGGCGATGTTTGGTGGGCGGAAGTGTTGTAATATGTCGAGAATTCAATCAAACTGAGTATTTACAAGTTCAATTTTTGAGTTCATGCAAAAGATTCCATTTTGCGAAAGGGTTTAAATGCTTTACCAAATATCCTGAAACAAAGGAATGCTAGTGGATGTTGAAGCACATGTTGTATCGTGTGAAGGTATGTATATTTCAATATTACAATTACTATAAGTTACAAACAGGGCCCATTCTCAGACATTAAGCTGATTAGCCGTTATATTGCTGAATTATTGTTCAAAGAGCAGTCAATAAAACTTAATGACGACATTATGATGTAGCTGCTTGTCTATCGGTTCAAATATTGATTTGTATTGTTCACGTCAGGTATCATGAGAATTGCAATATTTTTTATGACGTAATGCATTCTGGTGACCGAAAACATGAGTGTCGCTCATATCTCCACATGCAGTTTCATAAAAAAAACTCCTGCCATCAATAGTAAGCTCAAAGAGGGTACAATTATTGAAAGACATAGACGTGTTTACAATTTACAAAAATGAACCCTTGTAAACCAAGGTGACCACAAGCTGCCTTTACATACTAGTACAACCCGTGTGGACGTGTATCACTTTCTGCATAGAGCATTGTTTGGACGATGTGTTTGCATTGATTTAGTTTGAACTTGTGTTTTTAATTTATTGCAATTTCATTTATAAATTTGTAAAGTTTGTTTTGGCCGCAGGTTTATATCACTGTTTAATGTAGAATAAATAACGTGTGGGGTGTGGTGTATACTGTATAGCGTGTATATAATGTGCTGGTGAGTTTTACCAATTACAATGTCTACAAGTATTTCGTAATCCTAGTGTTTCAATGTTATCCTGTTTCACTGCCAGGGGCAACAGTACGTCACACGCTGCCGGCGACCTGTGTCGACAAGTGGAGCAACTGTGACTCCAACCCTCACTCGTGTGCGCCAGTGTGCAAAGACTGGGCGTCCGCCAACTGTGCCCGCTTCTGCAACTTGTGTTGAGCGTCTTGGAATCTGTACCGAGAAGATGAGGGACGCATGGAGTCTGCACTGCGAGATTTTGTTGCTGTAAACACATATTAAATGACAATGTCAGATGACATCAACATACGTCGAATATATTGCCTCCAAACAAGGCTATTATCAGAGAGTTGGCCTTTCTCTTTACTAATCTAGCTGGTAAACCAGGGATACTGTCTCAGTTAGAGCCCACGGTAGCCTTTATGAGTTTAGGGTAATTGGTTTCAACAGATTTACATTGACCGCAGACACAGAGAAGATGAATTTGAATGAATGTTTTCTCAATTAGATTTGTAACAGCTGATCTCCTTCGGTATCAAGATTGATGAACGTACGTTACACGCAGGACCAACATGGCTACAGAGGGGGAGGATGTTTTGGGCTGGGGCTGGGTTGAGGGGTATTGGGAGTAGTGTGTGTGTGTGTGTGTGTGGAGGGGAGGGGGGGGGGGGGTGTGTGTAGATGGGAGAGGGGGAAGGGAAACACTTTGCTCCAGTTTGTAATGGATACCCGCATGCAGTGTAATGAAACCCAACCAGTCACTCCTTGTTTTATTCCCTAAACATCGAGCGCCAGGCAGGGAAACAACAAGTGTTATCTTTTAACGTGTTGTGCTATGATGCTGCCAAAGGATCGAAGGCTCAAAAGTTAGCTGTGCAGAGTTGCTGTGCGGAATTCCAGCTTTGCCTTGATTATGATGTTTTTGCTGCCCGCACCATGCCCGTGCCTGTAGTTTCCCCACCTGTTTAACTGAAACAGCTTTCAAAGTTTACCAAAACTCACTCGCTGAAAGACTTTAACAGCGCTTAATTAACAGTATTTCAGTTACATCACGCCGGCAGAGTGTTTGTGGTCGGACTCGATGTAGTTAATAGACGTTTGCAACTGTGGTGAAACCCACGTGCACAGGTATGGTGCTGACAACCCTAGAAACAATCAGGGCGAATCTGTGATCCGAACTGACGACATCAGGCATGGTCTAAGGGAAGCAACTCTGCACAGTCTATTACGCGCCTTACACAACTGAGCTCCTAGTGGGGAACTGAGCCAAACTATATGGAATCAAATATTCTTTACATTACTTTTGACTCATGTGATTCATGCATAGGAAATGTAGGATGATCATATAGGAATCGAATAAGTCAATTCTTTCAAATAGTTCAATAAATTACAGATACACTGATAAACAATAAATAGACGACAAAAACAAACATCAGGAAAACGAAACACTGTTGTGGATTATACACTGGACGCGTCCCTGCATGTCAGTCGCTATCAGTGTTTCACCTGCAGTGACTAGGCTGGATACCAGTATGTGTGCATCAGATAACGCATAGCAGCTGACGGACCCGCCCCTCGACACAGTCGACATGGCGTCGGGCAGACTGGAAGAATGAGAAGTTAAAACTACTGACAATTAAAGGTAATGTAAGCATTGGCAACATGGAAGTTTGTTTGACGTCCCGTATATACTTGATCAGTGTGACGTCCCGTATATACTTGACGAGTGTGACGTCCTGTATATACTTGATCAGTGTGACATGCCACAGGTATATGGAAGGTGTGAAAATAGCTTCATACTTCCTGGTTGTACATGGTCGTATGGTCCCTGCGTGTGCTGTATTATAAGATTGAGTTATAGTGTCAGCAATATCGATCCAGATCCATTGTCAAAACTTGTTTTTATTTAAAGTAACAGATGCCAGTGTTATAACACTACACAGGCCCATCTATTCCTAGAATAGAAGGGCGGATCAAGCATTTCTGGGGAGGGGTCCAACATATCCAAATCCTCATTCAGATAAGTTTACTGCCTACACAATTTGTTTTTAAAAGAAAGAGGAGGGGGACCTTGGGCACCCCCCACATCTCCCTGGGTCAGCCAATAGAATCAAAGGTTCTAATTTCGTTATGCAAATGTGCTGGAATGAGTCCATATATAAGCATTTTACGGACGTTTCAACATGATTGAGCTGGCGGTGGTTCATGCATCGGGTGTTACACAATACTGAATACGGGTTGTTACAAGTTCTCAGAGCATAACAAATGAACAAATATATTATTATGGATTCTGTGCAATATTTTGCAAAATTTGTTTACATGTCCATTGTGGTAAAACTAGTGATTTAGATACTATTTTCTGAACTAATTATACATTTTGACATCATTTGTTGCAACTTGTACGAAATCCAATTTCTCTCAAAATATTTGCACAATGCCACTTTCAATAATAAATCACGTGAGCTATAACGGAGTCCAGAAAAAGATAGCAAACTTATGTCAAATTACAATTAGAAGATAATGTTCTACTATTAAAGTAGTCTTGAATATGGTCCTGCACCATGACTGTGGAATATATGTATTTTATAAAACCAAAACCTATCTAGTTTTATATAAAAACAGTTCTAGCCAACTCTCACAATCCCTATGAAATCAGCATCAGGAAAATTAATTGTTTTTATTGAAGAAGAGAGAAATGTTATGTGTAATAAAATATTACAAAAATGATGTATTAGTTTGTCTCAGTGTTAGTGTAGTAATTGGCTTTGTTGGAGCTGGACGAGTCATTACTTAAAATTATGATGATAAATCTTTTACTTCACCTCAACTGAAAATATGTAATGCACAAAAGGGTCAAAATCTAAAATTGTTTGTTCATAAATATGTTTTACTATTACAGATGGCGATGCACAGGACATTGACAGACAATTTATTGACGTGCAGCATCTGCATGGACGTCTTTGATGACCCCTGTACACTTGTGTGTTATCACACATTTTGTCGGAAATGTGTCGTTAGCTACACTGAAACCAGACCAGAAGCCATCAGTGCCAAGTCTCTCCTCTGTCCATTCTGTCGTAAGATGACCAAAGTAGCCAATTCAAACAGGCCAGTTGAAGAGTGGGCACAGGAGGTGAAACCCAGCTTCTTGATTCAGGGTCTCATGGATTCCTTCGCTCCCTGCAGTCAAGGTATAAGTATACACCAGAGACCAAGGTGGTTGGACTTCCACTCAATCCATATAGTTTTAATTCATCTTCAACACAGGCAACAGTATTGTCCCATCTATGAGAGACTCGTTTTTGTCCTAACATTACTTGAATATCTCTGTCATTTCTTTCAGTGGCACACTATTAGACCTGCAGTCAATCCTGTAACATATTTTCTCGTTTGCTTCTGAGACAAATGATTGATTCTCATGATTTTGAAGTGAGGTAATTGACCTTGTCTGGTCACAATGCCATGTAATGTCAACGCCGTTATTATTGCATACGAACACAAAAATACATTTCTCAATTTATTGTTGTATCAACAGAATTTTGTTATTATCAAGTTCATAGACTTATATTTTTAGTGACATTCTAACATGTCTTCGCAAGAATGACTTTTAAGCTTTAAAGACGAATGCTGCTTGCAGGGTTTTTTTATTACTAGTTGATAGGTACTGTATTTTTTAAACAGGTACTGTATTTTCTATGTTGGAAAACCAAAACGAACCAACCTAAACGTAAAATGTGTACTTGAGTATTCCAGTTATAGCATCGCGTGTCAGTTTGATGAGTGTGGAAAACTCGATCCGATGTCAAATGTCACTTTGGTGAAACCCACGAGCACAAGAATGGTGCGGACATACCATGAAACATAATGAGGGCGACTCTGGGATTTGAGGGATGCAGATATGCAGATTTAGAAGACTGCGCCACTGGTGCCCCTTAAATGGGTACTGATAAGGAAAGGATAAATGTCTTTATAAAGATGACGCAAACAGGTGGTCATTTATTCATATTGATAGGTTTTATATTCATGTGGAGCACTTTCTTCGTGCATCCTAACATAACCTATATTTCTCTGTAAACAACATTAGATATAAACCATGTCAACATAATACATGTGTATATTTCTTTTTAGGAACAAATAACTGCAACTTATGTGATGATGACGGGGAGGCAACTCTGGCTACATCTTGGTGTTCTGACTGTGACGTCTCGCTGTGTGGTGGATGTCTTAAGGCCCATGTTCGTAATCCTGCCTCCCGTCACCATGACGTATCTGACTTGTCAAGGGATGTCAAGGTGAAGAAAAGACGCAAACCTATGTGTAAAGAACATCCAGATCAGAGGATTCAGTTCTGCTGCAAGGAATGTAAGAAACTACAATGTCAATCGTGTTGCATCTTGTATCACAGAAAATGTGAGTCCATTGTCTCGCTTGAATCTGTGTTGCCTAAAATGCAAAACACTCTTCAAACTGTGAAACAGAAACTAGAGACTGATTTAGCAACATCAAACACTCGCCTTGCAAAGAAGGAAGCAAAATGTACTGAAATTAATGAGAACAAGTCAAGCCTTCAGTCTCAGGTCCGATCAGCAACCCACACCGCCATTGACTTGATAAAGAAGAAGGAAAGACAACTCCTGGAACAAATAGATGACGTCACAGAGAAACAAATAGGACAGATGAAAGGAGACATTAAGCGTGAGGAGATGGCCAGGCAGATGATTCGTCAACACTCGGAGTTGCTGGGCAGAGCTCTGGAGTCTGAGAGTGACGTGGTCATCTGTGAGATGTATCTGTGGAGTGAGTCGGAGGAGGCAGCCACTGTGTGTGTCCCGGAGTCAGGTATGGAGGATGTATCTGGGGGCAAGGCTTGTTTCATACACGATCGTCATCTGATGTGTGAGGAACTAAACGATCTACACTTGGGTGTGGTTGATATCATTGTTGGTGATGTTTTTGATTCTACATCTACAGCAGTTCTGTATGACACAGTGGACATACAGGCAGAAGATGATAAGAAGAAACCCAATGCTCTTGACGTGGCAGTGTTTGTTGTCGACAACACAGACACCATAGTTGTGACAGATTGTGACAACAAGTGTGTGAAATCCTTCTACAAAAGAAACAAGAAGTCATGTCAGAGTAAGCTGGGGGTACAAAGCGCTCCTCGATGTATTGCAAAATTAAACAATAATAAAATGGCTGTGACTCTCCATGGCACTAAGGAAATAATAATAGTAGAAGTGAAGCCTGAACTGGTTCTTCAATCATCCATCTCCACAAGGAAGGGGTACTACGGTCTGACATCCCTGACACCGACAACCCTGGCAGCAGGATCCGGGGATCCTCCCTGTGTGGACATCCTGGACATGACGGGGAATGTGTTGAGGACCCTGGATCCTGTCACAGATGGAGAGAGTCTTGCATCAGCTCCTTGGTTCCTCAGTACCACCAGGCAGGGTAACATCCTCGTGTCTTACCTTGGATACGCTCACAGGGTCCTCTGTTTGACTCCTCATGGAGATGTTGTGTTCAGGTATCATCCTACACAGCAGTGGCCTTTCTTTGCTGGAATCACTGAAACCAACACAGGACATATCCTGGTTATAGATTACAATGCACAATGTGTGATTCAACTCAGCGCTTCTGGGACGTTTGTGAGGGAAGTCTTGACGTCACGTGATGGTATTACATCTCCGTATGGTCTCTACCTGTCTGAAAGTCAGCACCTGTATGTCATCGATGATGACTGTGTGAAGATCTACAGTTTTACAGGAAACACCTAAGATGTGGATGCATAACGATTGTACCTGATAGAATCCGTCACCATCTGAGTGACAATAGTTTATGTAAATATGAATTTCCAATACAAGTGAACAATCAGTCCAGACTGTCCGCCGAAACAGATTAAAATTTGACGTTAAGTGCAAAATAGTTGTGAAATTTATATGGATGGACCAGTGATATTGAGTGATGATACCAGGTAGTCGCGAAAAGGGTAAGCATGTCCGACCCTATCGGTAGCACTCGACAATCACACAATTTACATGACAAAAGAAGTATTTGTCCCTGACGCGGCACAGCTGTACTCGTATCGCGAGACGGCGACCTGTAAACAAACCAGACAATCAAGTGATCGATGAACCAGAATATCCAGTGACACGTTAGTGCAGTAACTGATTTTGTTGAAACTAATGAAACCGATACGTTAAATATACCCTACGAATTAAATGCACCGATTCTGCTTCTTAAAAGAAAGAAGAACGTTTAAGAACTATTATGAGAGGCAGTGGTTGGGGGATGCGTTTTTATTGTGCCCACACCAGGGGTTCGCGATGTTTGTGTCTGACATTGGTGTGGAGCTGTGAGACATCAATATGGTGAATGTGAATAATGAATGTACAGAACTGGAATTGTCACTCGTCACACAAATATTCCGTTATTAAATGTGCATGTATTACGTGTATATTTAAGTTAGCGGGGAGGGGAGGGCGGATTTTGGGTAAAAGCAAAGGTCACCAACAACGCGTGCCATGTTGGAGGCGACTTAATGGATAAGGTGACCTGGTTAATTTGCACGTCATCGTATCCCAAATACATGGATCGATGCTCATGATGTCAGTCACTGGACTATCTGACCAGACTCGATTAATTACAGACCACCCTCATATAGCTGGAATATTGCCGAGTGCTGCGACGAACAACAAACAAACAAAATCTGAGCGAATGTCTGTTCATCGACACCAACTACAACACTGCCGACAAGCTGGTTAATTTACACATGCTTATAATCCCACGAAACAGTCGTGAATGCCATGGTTATCTATCAGAAGTATGGAAAATAGTTTACAGAACTACATCCGTTTCATCGACAGTATTAATACCTCGCCAAGGCTCTGAACTCACTATATACCTCTGGGGACAGATAACACGTACTTCTTCGTTGCCCAAAGGTTATTCCTCGAAATTATCAGTTTGTTTCAATCGGTAAAACGGTATATGATTGGCTACGGATGTGTCGTGAATTGCCAAAAGAATCCTATATAGCATATATGTCTCTGTTCTCGATATACTATTCTGCCTAGATCATACAAATATAAATGGCAAATGTTTCCGTATCTTATTTTTAACCGTTTATTTGGCGCAGAATAGACTTGTGATTAAGATTGCTAAACCTATAGATGCAAGTGCGACATCCGCGTAGAAGCAGGCTGTAGTTTCTCTAATGGCAGCTATGTTTCAATAAAAAAGTCATCAATTATATATGACAATGTCCATTCTTTACTTTCACATTTGATTTACCCGGGGTATTTATGTTTATTGCTATATCTCAGATTCTGTTTTGTCTCTCAATGCGAGGTGTTATGGTTCAGTTTTCACCCGTGTTTTGTTGTCGGGAACACCAGTGACGTCATCAACTGTTGTAATGTTTGGCAGAGTAAGAGATGGGCTTTATACATTGTATCCATGCGGGCACTAGGACCCATGCCTCTGGCGAGACAAGCCAAGCTTTAATTACTAGTCTACCCCTCCTTTACGACCAACCCCTCCCGCGCCTTCTGGAAGATCTGTGTTTGAATCTTCAGAAACCAATGCTTGTCGTATGAGGCCACACACGGGATCGGGTGGTCAGGCTCGCTGACTTGGTTGATGCATGTCACCGTATTCCAATCGATCGATGGTCACGATGTTAATCACTGGAACTTCAGACCGCGGTCTTGTAGCTTGAAGAGTGTTGAGTGCCGCGTTAATGAACCTACCGTCCAACCAACCAACAAACAGTAAACTGTAGAAATAAGTGACTGATATATTAAGGTGTAATGAAGAAATTAAGCTTTTCTCATTTTGACGTGACAGTTTGACTCCGTTGGATACAGATTCGTGAGATTCACTCACTGGACCTACATACCGCCATCTTGTAGCTGGAAGAGTGTTGAGTGCGACGTTAATCAACCTACCGTCCAACCTGTCAGCCTCGTTTTATCCCCTTATTAAAGAAATGGAAGTAATCGAATCACGTCATAACAACCGAGCGATAAATGGCAAAAATAAACAACACTGTAAATATTATAGTTTTTATGCACATGTCAATACAAAAGGGGACACAGCTGAACAAAATGATTTTATTTTACCTTAGAAAAAAAATATTGTTTCGTAAACATATTGTTTTATAACAATGCGCTTGCGTCCCCTGTGCATCTATCATTACCTCATCATCACGATCGAACACAGTCACAGTCATCGGACCACGGAAGTAGGAGTAAACACACCTACATTGGCTTCACACTGGTTGTGTTTCTCAATCACGTTATATAACTGAAACACTATTCAAAGTGAGATCTATACAAAATCATTCACTCGTTCATTCACCGAGATCACCCTTCATGTACATCTTGGTTTGGTGCGTGTTATAAACCTGTAGACCATCACACAGTGGCGGTTGGTGACGTACAGACGCCTCCGCTTATCAAAGTACAGGCCATAAGGGAAAGTGATGCCATCCCTTGACGTCAGAACGTCTCTCAACCAAGTGCCTGAACTACTCAAATGAACCACTTTGTTTGACATGTCGTCAACAACAAGCATGTCGCCTGTGTGTGTTCCTTTGATGCCTGTGGGTACATAATTTAACACAACATCTCCGTTTGGTGTCATACATAGGACATGACTTCTTGGGGCATGACTGCATGACACTAGGATGTAACCTTGACTGGTGGTTTATAGGAATAAAGGATCTGATACAAGGGTTCCCCCATCTGTGACACGATTCAGCGTCCTCAACACATTCCCCGCCATGTCCAGGATGTCCACACAGGGAGGCGACCCGGATCCTGCTGCCAGGGTAGTCGATGTCAGGGCTGTCAGACCAAAGTACTTCTTCCTCGTTGAAACGTATGATTGAAGAACAAGGTCAGGGTTCACTTCAATCACTATTATCTCCCTTGTCTCGGGAAGGGTCACGGCCATGTGATGGGCATTAAGTTTTGCAATCCGCCGAGGGGAGCTCTGAACAGAGAGCTTACTCTGACAGGGTTGAGTATTGCGTGTGTAGAAGGATTTGACGCACTTGTTGTTATTATCAGTTACAACTATGGTGTCTGTACCGCCTTCATTGAACACTGCCACGTCATAAACATGAGGTAAACTTGTCTCATCTTCTGTTTGTATGTCCACTGTGTCGTGCAGAACTGATGTCGATGTAGAATCAAACACATCTTCATATATGGTATCAATTTCACCAAGCTCACCTCGTGAATATTGTTACAGATCTCTACACAATCATGCATAAAACATACTTTCTCTTTCAGTTCATATTTTATATCTGAATCTGGGCCGTATACTGTAGGAAACTCCTCTGACTCATACCACAGGTACATCTCATAGATGTCCATTTCACTTCCAGACTCCAGAGCTCTGTCTATCATCACAGAGTGATGACTTATCATCTGCTTGGCCATCTCTTCAGACTTTATTTCAGTTTTCAATCGCTCGATCTGTTTCTCAGTGGCGTCATCCAATTGGTCCAGGAGTTGTCGTTCCTTCTTCATTGTGGCTTCTGTGACTGTCTGGATTGTGGATCGGATCTGACACTGAACGGTGACTCTGTTCTTCATTACCTCAGTCCGTTTGGTTTCTAAATCCGTTAGCAAACTGTCTGTTGCTTGTAAATGAGACGCTAGTCTTTCCTTAACTCTTGTAACACAGCTGATCAGTTCTGGCATAACAGATTCAAACGGTAGAATTGCCTCACACTTTCTGTGATACAGGAACCAAAAGGATTGACATTGCAGTTTCTTACAATCTTTGCAGTAGAACTGCATGCTTTGATCTGGATATTGCTTACAGAATGGTTTGCGTTTTTGGTTGATTTTGACCTCTGTGGACAGGTCAGATACGTCATGGTGACGAGTGGCAGGAATACGTCTGTGAGCCTTCTGGCATCCCTCACAAAGACTGATGTCACAGTCAGCACACCAAGCAGTGGCTGGAGGTGCCGCTCCTTTATCACTGCATAGGATGCACTTCGGGGTATCTGCAAGTATACATACAAATGTGTCAGTTATTTTTCAACAATAGAACTATAATATTACGAAATAACCTTTAACCTTTCAATGTGCATACAAGGAATTCACAAACCAGGGATATAAGGAACGTAGCAATGTTAGGATGAGTTCAACACTGGTAGCCTATTCGGAAATACCTTATGTCTTGGGATTTAAAGAATCAGGGAGACCTTGACTCAAAAAGCTTGGTTTCACCTCCTGTGCCCACTCTTTAACTGGCCTGTTTGAGTTGCCTACTTTGGTTATCTTACGACAGAATGGACAGAGGAGAAACTTGGCACTGATGGCTTCTGGTCTGGTTTAAGTGTAGCTAACGGCACACTTCTTACAAAATCTTACACATAAGTGTACAGGGGTCATCAAGGACCATGCAGATGCTGCACGTCAGGAAGTTGTCTGTCAATTGTCAGTGCACTGCCATCGAAAATGTTAAAATAACAATATTGGAATCATCAACTTAACATCATACACATTTTCATCTACAAGAACTCATTTTTGTTTGTGAATGGTATACACTGTATGTTTCATCAATAATGTACTCACAGAGAGTAGATATGGATACAAGATCGTTAAAGACATGAAGTAGTTTGTTGTGTGCTAATGTACCTCCAACACAAGTTCCTGTTCCAATGCCTATCAATGACAACAATCTTGAACAACATATTAAAGCGTGTGCGTGTGTGTGTGTGTGTGTGTGTGTGTGTGTGTGTGTGTGTGTGTGTGTGTGTGTGTGTGTGTGTGTATGTGTGAGTGTGAGAGAGAGACAGCGAGAGAGAGACAGCGAGAGAGAGAGAGAGAGAGAGAGAGAGAGAGAGAGAGAGAGAGAGAGAGAGAGAGAGAGAGAGAGAGAGAGAGTGGATGTGAATGTATGTGTGTGGCCGCTTGTACTTGATTAATGCCGGTTTCATAGTGCTAGCCCACTGAGACACCATGCCGCAGTTTAACATTCCTGAGGAATGACGGTTGATGGTTGGGGCAGGATTCGCCAGACTTTTCGCTAAGACCTTCCATCATCACAATAAAACACATGCTCCTGGTATAGTCATTTTTGCCGCGATTTCCTGTAAATATGGCAAGGTTGAGTCGCTTTTCCTTGCAGAGGGCAATCAGAACAAAAAACACTCATTGTCACATACCAGCCATATATATATTCACTAATTCAATAATTGAAATATGAAAACTCCCATCTTGACGATTTAAGCAACGACAGCACCGACGACGACCACAACACCACCTCCTCCCGTCTGTGAGGACAAACTATCAACACGCAGCATCCCTTAGTCTGCGCCAAGACTTGCCGCCTGTGTAGTAAGTCAGCTCACGACAATACTCTGATAATACTTGTATACATGTACATGTGGTTTCATGTGTGGATAATCATGTCAGTCTGGTCTGATTTCAGTATAAGTAAAATACAAATGTCCTAAGATGAGCTGTATAATTTACTCAACAGGTTTCATGAATGTGGTTTTCAGGAGTCAATGCTTAAAGTCTGGAGTCAATGAAGATAGTTCCTAGATTATGTAATAAGCCACATCTAAGACTGACATTACGGGTCAAGGTGGCTCGCACCTACAACTGATGTTGTAAAGCTAACGTCTTATGTATGTGATAATTGTCTCTCCACGTGAACTTCCTACCATTCTTTCACTGGCTTTCGTTCTATCTTTTTGTCTGTCTGTCTCTGTCCGTTTCTGTCTGTCTGTCTGTCTGTCTGTCTGCCTGTCTGTCTGTCTGTCTGTCTGTCTGTCTGTCTGTCTGTCTGTCTGTCTCTCTCGCCCATCACTTCGGGCTTTCCTCCCACATTAAGCTGACACGTCGCGATATAACTGGAATACTGTTAAAAGCGGCGTTAAACCCAACTCACTCACTCACTCACTCACTCTCTCTCGCCCCATATCCCACTCTCTCCACCTCTCCCCCCAATACCCCAATTTCTCTACTCAGGATCATTCTAAATGTCTACATGATTCCAATTCCAGACGAGACGACAGTGGCGGTAACACGACCAACAAGGGCATTTACTGGTAGGCATCCATTAAAGTCCAGTTCTGCTACTCCTTACATCAAATACTGACATATTATAAACTGACATTTTGTTCTCACACGAGGGATACGGGACGTCGGTATGTAGTGTGTAGTGTGTAGAAGATATAGTGCATTGTTTAATGTGTGTGGTGTGTGGTGTATGTTGTTTGGGGTGTAGTGTGTAGATATTGTGCTAAGTTGCAAAATGTGTGTGGTGTGTGATGTGGTTTGTAATGTGTATAGTTTGGGGTGTAGTGTGTATATCTCCGAGCCGACCAGTCCTTGTTTTAGCCCCTGAACGCCGAGTGCCACGCAGAGTAACAACAAGTACCATCTTTTAACGTCTTTTGGTATGACGCGGCCGGGGATCGAAACCTGAACATTCCAGTCTCCTGGCTGACGCTCTACCACTAGACCACAGAGGCGATCCGTTAATACTGTGGACGTGCATCACCTTCTGCATTGATTTAGTTTGAACTTGCGTTTTCAAATTTTTCAAATTTCATTTGTAAATTTGTTGAGATTCTTTTGGCCGCTTGTTTATATAGTGTTTAGTGTAGAATACTTAACGTGTGGCGTGCAGTGTTTATTGTATAGCGTGTAGGACATAATATCCCAGTAAATAATGGGCCGAGGAGTTTTCTCTTTCCAGTCCGTTCCACAACATGAAGTAAGAAACCAATTACAATGTCAAAAAGTATTTCGTAATCCTACGGTGTTTTTAATGTCATCCTGCCAGGGCTACAGTACATCACACGCTGCCGGCGACCTGTGTCGACAAGTGGAGCAACTGTGACTCCTACCCTCACTCGTGTGCGCCAGTGTACAAAGACTGGGCGTCCGCCAACTGTGCCAGCTTCTGCAACTTGTGTTGAGCGTCTTGGAATCTGTACCGAGAAGATGAGGGACGCATGGAGTCTGCACTGCGAGATTTTGTTACACATATTAAATGACAAGGTCAAATGACATCAACATACGTCGAATATATTGCCTCAAAGGCTATTATCAGAGAGTGGGCCTTTCTCTTTACTAATCTAAACCCCATATACTGTCTCAGTTAGTGTCCCTGGTAAAACAAAAACAACAGCCTTTATGAGTTTAGGGTAATTGGTTTCAAAATATTTACATTGACCGCAGACACAGAGTAGATAAAGTTGAAGAATGTTTTCTCAATTAGAAGGCTCAAAAGTTAGCTGTGCAGAATTGCTGTACTTTGCTTCAGGCCCAGATCCTATAATCGTGGTCGGGAATTCCAGCTTTGCATTGATTATGATGTTTTTGCTGCCCGCACCATGCCCGTGCCTGTAGTTTCCCCACCTGATTAACTGAAACGCCTTTCAAAGTTTACCAAAACTCACTCGCTGATACACTTTAACACCGCTTAATTAACAGTATTTCAGTTACATCACGTCGACATAGTGTTTGTGGCCGGACTCGATATAGTAAATAGACGTTTGCAACTTTGGTGAAACCCACGTGCACAGGTATGGTGCTGACAACCCTAGAAACAACCAGGGCGAATCTGTGATCCGAACTAACGACATCAGGCATGGTCTAAGGGAAGCAACTCTGCACAGTCTATTAAGCCCCTTACACAACTGAGCTCCCAGTGGGGAACTAAGCCAAACTGAATGGAATCACATATCTTTTACATTACTTTTGACTCATGTGAATCATGCATAGAAAACGTAGGATGATCATATAGGAATCGAATAAGTCAATTCTTTCAAATAGTTCAATAAATTACAGATACACTGATAAACCATAAATAGACGACAAAAATCAAACATCAAGAAAACGAAGCACTGTTGTTGAGTATACACTGGACGCGTCCTTGCATGTCAGTCGCTATCAGTGTTTTACCTGCAGTGACTAGACTGGTTACCAGTATGTGCGCATCAGACAACGCATACCAGTTTAGAGAACCGCCTCTCGACACGCCTGGACACAGTCGACATGGCGTCAGGCAGACTGGAAGAATGAGAGGTTAAAACACTGACAATTCAAGGTAATGTGAGCATTGGCAGCATGCAAGTTTGTTTGACTTCCCGTATATATACTTGATCAGTGTGACGTGGGGTGTTACACAATACTGAAACTTGTAAACTTGCAATGTCCTGAAACCAGCCAACCAACCAACCAACCAATCAGTCAACAAATCAATCAGTATGTTTTCATGATGCGGGTGAGGCCAACGGCCGGGTTGTTACAAGTTCTCAGAGCATAACAAATGAACAAATATATTCTTATGGATTCTGTGCAATATTTTGCAAAATTTGTTAACATTTCCATTGTGGTAGAACTAGTGATTTAGATACTCTTTTCTAAACTAATTATAAATTTTGACATCATTTGTTGCATCTTGTACAAAATCTAAGTTCTCTTAAAATATTTGCACAATGCCTATTTCAATAAATAAATCACGTGAGCTATAACGGAGTCCAGAAAAAGATAGCAAACTTATGTCAAATTACAATTAGAAGAGAATGTTCTACTATCAAAGTAGTCTTGAATATGCACCATGACTGTGGAATATATGTATTTTATAAAAACAAAACCTATCTAGTTTTATATAAAATTAGTTCTAGCCAGCTCTAACAATCCCTATGAAATCAGCATCAGGAAAATTAATTGTTTTTATTTAATAAGAGAGAAATGTTATGTGTAATAAAATATTACAAAGACGATGTATTAGTCTGCCTCAGTGTTAGTGTAGTAATTGGCTTTGTTGGAGCTGGACAAGTCATTACTTAAAATTATGATGATAAATCTTTCACTTCACCTCAACTGAAAATATGTAATTCACAAAAGGGTCAAAATCTAAAATTGTTTGTTCATAAATATGTTTTACTATTACAGATGGCGATGCACAAGACATTAACAGACAATTGCTTGACTTGCAGCATCTGCATGGACGTCTTTGATGACCCCTGTGTGTTATCACACATTTTGTCGGAAGTGTGTCGTTAGCTACACTGAAACCAGACCAGAAGCCATCAGTGCCAAGTCTCTCCTCTGTCCATTCTGTCGTAAGATGACCAAAGTAGCCAACTCAAACAGGCCAGTTGAAGAGTGGGCACAGGAGGTGAAACCCAGCTTCTTGATTCAGGGTCTATTGGATTCCTTCGCTCCCTGCAGTCAAGGTATAAGGAGACATTAGAGACCATGGTGGTTGGACTTCCACTCAATCCATATAGTTTTAATTCTATGACGGACTCGTTTTTGTCCTAACATTACTTGAATATCTCTGTCATTTCTTTCAGTGGCACACTATTAGACCTGCAGTCAATCCGGTAAGATATTTTCTCGTTTGCTTCTGAAACAAATTATTGATTCTCATGATTTTGAAGCAATGTTATTGACCTTGTCTGGTCACAATGCCACGTATTTAACGCCTTTATTATTGCATACGAACACAAAAATACATTTTTCAATTTATTGTTGTATCAACTGAATTTTGTAATTTTCAAGTTCATAGAATTATATTTATGGTGACATTCTAACATGTCTTCGCAAGAATGACTTTTAAGCTTCTAAAAACGAGTGCTGCTTGCAGGTGTTTTTATTACCAGTTGATAGGTACATTTTATTGTGGAAAACTCGATCAGTTGTCAAATGTCACTTTGGTGAAACCCATGGGCACAAGGATTGCGCCGACATACCATGAAACATGATGAGGGCAACCCTGGGATTTGAGGGATACAGATATGCAGATTTAGACGACTGCGCCCCTGTTTCCCCTTAAATTGGTACTGAAAAAGGGAAGGATAAATGTCTTTATAAAGATGACGCAAATAGGTGGTCTTATATTCATATTTCCTATTCATGTGAAGCACTTTCTAAGTGCATCCTAATAGAACCTATATTTCTTTGTACACCACCTTAAATATTATTTATATCAGCATAATACATGTGTATATTTCTTTTCAGGAACAAATAACTGCAACTTTTGTGACGAGGACGGGGAGACAACTCCAGCCAATGCTTGGTGCGTCGAATGTAATGTCTCGCTCTGTGATGGATGCCTGAAGGCACATAGAAGTATCCCTGCCACCCGTCACCATGACGTATCTGACTTGTCAAGGGATGTCAAGGTAAAGACAAGACGCAAACCTATGTGTAAAGAACATCCAGATCAGAGGATGCAGTTCTACTGCAAGGACTGTAAGAAACTACAATGTCAATCGTGTTGCATCTTGTATCACAGAAAGTGTGAGCCCATTGTCTCGCTTGAATCTGTGTTGCCTGAAATGCAAAACACTCTTCAAACTGTGCAACAGAAACTAGAGGCTTATTTGGCAACATCAAACACTCGCCTTGCAAAGAAGGAAGCAAAATGTACTGAAATTAATGAGAACAAGTCAAGCCTTCAGTCTCAGGTCCGATCAGGAACCCAGGCCGCCATTGACTTGATAAAGAAGAAGGAAAGACAACTCCTGGAACAAATAGATGACGTCACAGAGAAACAAATAGGACAGCTGAAAGGGGACATGAAGCGTGAGGAGATGGCCAGGCAGATGATTCGTCAACACTCGGAGTTGCTGGGCAGAGCTCTGGAGTCTGAGAGTGACGTGGACATCTGTGAGATGTATCTGTGGAGTGAGTCGAAGGAGGCAGCCACTGTGTGTGTCCCAGAGTCAGGTATGGAGGATGTATCTGGGGGCAAGGCTTGTTTCATACACGATCGTCATCTGATGTGTGAGAAACTAAACGATCTACACTTGGGTGTGATTGATATCATTGTTGAAGATGCTTTTGATTCTCCATCAACAGCAGTTCTGTATGACACAGTGGACATACAGGCAGAAGATGATGAGAAGAAACCCAATGCTTTTGACGTGGCAGTGTTTGTTGTCGACAACACAGACACCATAGTTGTGACAGATCGTGAAAACAAATGTGTGAAATCCTTCTACAAAAGAAACAAGAAGTCATGTCAGAGTAAGCTGGAGGTACAAAGCGCCCCTCTACGTATTGCAAATTTAAACAACAATAAAATGGCTGTGACTCTCCCTAACACTAAGAAAATAATAATAGTAGAAGTGAAGCCTGAACTGGTTCTTCAATCATCTATCTCTACAAGGCAGAGGCATGTGGGTCTGACATCCCTGACACCGACAACCCTGGCAGCAGGATCACTGGATCCTCCCTGTGTGGACATCCTGGACATGGCGGGGAATGGGTTGAGGACCCTCGATCCTGTCACAGATGGAGGGAGACTTGTATCAGATCGTTCGTTCCTCAGTACCACCAGGCAGGGTAACATCCTCGTGTTCGGCAGTGGATACGGAGCTGGCAGAGTCCTCTGTCTGACTCCTCATGGAGATGTTGTGTTCAGGTATCGGCCTAAACAGCTGAATCCTTTCCCTCGTGGAATCACTGAAACCAACACAGAACATATCCTGGTTATAGATCGCAGAGCAAAATGTGTGATTCAACTCAGCGCTTCTGGGACGTTTGTGAGGGAAGTCTTGACGTCACGTGATGGTATTACATCTCCGCATGGTCTCTACCTGTCTGAAAGTCAGCACCTGTATGTCATCGATGATGACTGTCTGAAGATCTACAGATTTACAAGAAACAACTAAGATGTGGAAGCATAACGATTGTTCCTGATAGAATCCCTCACTATCTGAGTGACAATAGTTGTAAATATGACTTTCATATACAAGTGAAAAATCAGTCTACATTGTCCGCTGAAACATATTAAAATTTGACGTAAAGTGCAAAATAGTTATGAAATTTATATGAATGGACCAGGGATATTGAGTGATGACACCAGGTGTTCGCGATGCGTTAATTTTAACCTACGAATTAAGTGCACCGATTCTGCTTCTTAAAAGAAAGAAGAACGTTTAAGAACTATTATGTGGGGCAGTGGTTGGGGGGTGCACAGTTTTATTGAGCCCACACCAGGTGTTCGCGATGTTTGTGTTACGTCGCT